TACAAGATGGCTAAAAATAAAGACAAGTTGCTCCTGTGTACCTTTTGTGAAGAAAAGAGCTGGAATAGCAGTTTAGGGAGATGGACAATGACTACGCTTTTAGCATGGAGAGAAGTGAGGACTTTTATCAAATTAATTCACATGAAGTCATAAGAAAATGTTTTTGTTTTGTTTTTTTAGAAAGATGGTTAATAACAGGTAGATAAACAATATAATAATAATAATAATAATAATAATAATAATGCATTTTATTTAATGGCGCCTTTTAAAACACCCAAGGTCACCTCACAAGCAAGCAAAGATAAAAATAATTACAAATCACTACACAATAAAAAAACACACAACAAATACTCCGCATATACAGATAAAGTGCAGTAAAGACTCAATAAAACATTATAAAAAAGCCTTAAGACATGTTTTAAAAGTCAGCAGGCAATCGCTGTTGCGAATATCAGGGGGAAGGGAGTTCCATAGGTGTGGGGCAACACAGCTAAAAGATCTGGCACCCATGGTAGTTAGTCGAATCCGAGGTACCACAAGAGAAATTGATGATGAGGATCTGAGAGCACGTGAAGGGGTGTAAACATGAAGAAGTTGAGTAAGGTATTGTGGTGCAAGATTTGAAGTGCCTTGTAAGTAAGTAGCAAGATCTTGAATTCAACTCAAAACTTTACTGGAAGCCAGTGCAATTGCTGAAGAACTGGAGAAATGTGCTCAGTAGAGGGTGTTCTAGAAAGAACACGAGCTGCAGAATTCTGAACCAACTGGAGCTTATGTAGCAATTTAGAGGGACCACCAGTGAGAAGGGCATTACAGTCTATATGTGAGGTAACTAGTGCGTGAACAAGAACTGCTGTATTATTGGTTGAGAGAAAGGGACGGAGACGGTTAATATTACGCAAGTGGAAATATGCAGTCCGTGTGATATTATTAATTTGAGTTTCAAAAGACAGTGTGCTATCCATGATAACACCCAAACTTTTATCCTGAGAGGAAAGACAGATTGCATTATTGTCAAGAGGGAGAATATAAATAATGAAAAGAAGCGGGCCCAAAACAGAACCATGGGGAACACCAGTGGTGACTGTAGATGTTTTGGATCTAAAACTTTTTAATTGAATACGCTGAGTGCGTCCAGAAAGATACGACCTAAACAAGACAGTGGAGTGCCAGTAATCCCAATAGAAGCTAACCTGTCGAGAAGTATCGTAGAGTCTGGACCAATCAGACACACATTATATATAATATATAAATATATTAAGGGGTGTGGCCGAGAAAGACTGTGTTAAATGGGCAGTAAGCTGAACTGATTATGCTGTCCCATGTGCAAATATCTATGAAAACAGATTGGTACAGTAAAATAATAATAAAATAATATTCGGCCATTACAGTGTCATCAGACACTAATATCATATTTAAAGCCCCCTTAAATCACAGCTGAACTCAGTCAACTGTATTGTGCCATATGTTTAAGTTTTAGGGTGTATTCACACCTGTCTTGTTTGGTTTGATTGAATCGAACTCAAGTTCGTTTCCCCCTTGGTGCGGATCTTTTGGGCAGGTGTGAATACAGCAATCGCACTCGGGTGCGGACCAAACAACCGTATCGAGACCCAGCTGAAGAGGTGATCTTGGTCCGCTTCCAAACAAACTCTGGTACGGTTCGTTTAAGGTGTGAATATGACCCGACCTCCATCCGACCCAATTGCAGAAATCACACTCAGAAACAGACAGCTCTCGCTTATAGTGTTGTTGTTTGCATTTCAATGGCTTAAATCACTTGTTTTTAAACCACAATGCTTAAAAACACATGCAAATTATGAGTTTTCGTGACCATAGCGCACAGCAACGTGACGTGAGTGCGCTAAATAGGCTAAAGCTTGCCACAAAATTACCATGACTATGTTGGGGGAAAATAGTAAGGAGATATTTCAGTTATTTATTAATTAACTAGTGTTTTATGAGTCAGTGTCACTATGAAGTTGATGATCCTGACTCGCCATCTCATCTTTGGACGCGCCTTTAGAAATGCATCTTTACAGATTACATAAGAGTTTTTGTTTTGGATTTGAATTATTTAGTTTTGTAGTCATTTAAAGCTTTCTATAGATATATTCATCATGTCTGTAAAGAAAATATTTGCTGAGTTCAGGTTAATTTTTGTGAAGCGCTCCTGTTCAAGACCGAGACGGCAAGCGCATCCTATTTATTTTCTTTATTTTACAAAAGCACAATGTTTTCTTGATATTGTGAGTGCACACAAATAAAAGTAGACCCTTTACAGTTCCGAATTATGTATTATTCTTACCTTTCTGAGCAAAAATGACGGCATATTTAATTTGTTTCCACTGATGTCCTGAAACGTGCTTCAGCTTCCACTCTCCGCACAAACAATTGGATATGCACCTAATAGCACACATTTATATAGGTTAAATGTTTAAACTAACATTGTGATATGCTTTAAGTATTTTATATCTGTAGATTTTATTTTCGGCAAGTCATAATTACAACATCGTATGACATTGTCTCATATGATGCTCATAAGTTTCTTCATATTGTGTTAGTATCTGATAAACAGTGTTGCCAAGTCCGTGGTTTTCCCGTGTCCGCGGGTTGAATCGACTCCAATAACATGATATTTATCCCCTGGTGTGCGAATTTTAGCAGGGGAACCCCGTCAAAAAACTTGTATTTCCCCCCTGGAACGCGATTTGTAACTGGGGACGCCCTCGAAACGTGATTGGGCTAGTTTTGAGTAGCGATTGGCGTTTTCTTGTGAAAACCTGGCAACCCTGCTGATAACACCAAATCAGTAAAAGAATAAAAATTGCACTACGAAAGATTTCCATCATTACCCTGTTTTTGCACTTCTTGTTTTTCCCTGCTTGAGAATTTCTGTCCAATGAATGGATGATCTTGGCACACATGTGGTTTTGTTTACAATTTCTGGTTCACTTGCAAAAAAGGGCAGTGTGAAAATGAACCACACCAAACAAAAAAAATCAACATTGTATTTGGTCCGGACCAAAGCAAGTGAACTAGCGGATATTCCTGGGGTGTATTCCAGAAAGCACGGTTAACTTACCGTTAGCTAAACCCTGAACTTTCGGTTGATTAACCACAAACCTTGCTTACTCGAGGTATGTGGTTCCAAAACAGTGTCCGGGAGTAAGTTCATTCAACTCTTGAGTATGTTCCTGGTTAAGACTCAAGATTTTCTCAACAGAGCGACGAATCGACGAGTCACTATGGAAAGCGCACCATGCTGTTTCTTTCTTCTTCTTTTGTTCAGTGGTCGTTTACATGCTTAGTGCATATCGCCACCTAATTAATGGTTGTGCAATCATTTTTCTTTTCTTCCCCGTTTAATCTTTAATCCTTAAGAATATGAATTATATTGTTTGTTTGATGATAATTATATATTGTCATATCATATATGTATTTTTTTATTATAGAAATAAAACATTTTAGAAAATTCCGATCCATGTGTGAGATGATAATATAAAATGTAATAAATATGAAGAGTTTATTTGCAAAAACAGATAACTCCGTTTTTAACAATTCTCAGAAATCATCATATCAGATATGTATTTTGATTTAGAATTGAGACATTATAGAAAAAGCAGATACATGTGTGAGTTGATAATATAAAATGTAATAAATAAACATATATAATAAAATAAGCATTACCTTGTCATAGTGTTTTATAATTTATACAGATAACTGTTATATATGCCAATAAAATAAATATAATAACCATATTAGAATAATATAATACCTTATTACTTACAGTATATTAGCGCTTCATCATTAACATATCAAATATATATATATATATACGTATATAAAAATATAATAGGCTATATTACATTTTGTAATATTATATAATGTTGTGCGGCTGTGCGCTATCTGTCAGGCCCACTGAAGGCTCATCAGTAGATCACACGTGCACTGAAGTGAACTAACCCTGGAACAGAAGCTGCTCCGGAGCAGGTTATCTTCAGAGAGCAAGTTACTATGGTTACTTACATACCCTGAAAGTAACCTCTTTGTAATATTATATAATGTTGTGCGGCTGTGCGCTATCTGTCAGGCCCACTGAAGGCTCATCAGTAGATCACACGTGCACTGAAGTGAACTAACCCTGGAACAGAAGCTGCTCCGGAGCAGGTTATCTTCAGAGAGCAAGTTACTATGGTTACTTACATACCCTGAAAGTTACCTCCGATTTTGGAACCGAAAGCTGAGGTGATCCGCTCGCTTATCCTCAAACATACCCGGGTATGTCACATAACCTGCTTTTTGGAATACCCCCCTGGTGTGAATACACCCTAAGTGTTTAAAATTAAAGTAAAAAGATGATCAATATGTAGATTACGTTAAGGCATTACACTGTGTGTTATATCTAATGCACTCTTTCCATGCCTCAAAGTTTCATCGGCTCAGACAGAGAGTAAAGTTGTTTTGCAATCTTTTATTTTAATTTATGACATTATTGGAATTGTTCTCAAACACAGTCTGTTTGGGTAAAAAAGAAGTAAAGTAATTTAATAATAATGACACCTAGTGGCATGGAAGCATAATGCAAGAACTGATAAACACACACAAACACATACACATTATGGAGTAAACTTTCATAATATTTGGTGGAGATGGGGCACATCAATACAATTCCACCAGCAGCAGCCCTGGTCACGTGTTTTCCAGTTTGCAGTTGCTGATTTTGAAAGTGAAACTAAGAGTGAAACTGCACATTGTTGTTTGCTCAGTGAATAGGAGCTCAAATCAGCCACCGAGAATAACCAGAGACACACAGAGAGGTGTGTGTGTTACAGCATTTCTATGTGTCTTACTCAGCCTGCTAGTTTGATGTGAAAGTGTGTTGTTAAAGCAATATTTTACACAAACAGAAAGAGGAAAGGCTGCTTGTGTGGGGAATTCCTGTACTGTCTAATGCAGGAGTATTGGAGTATTTCTCAGTGCGGTTGATTAAAGGAAGTGAAATGTGTTTGGGTCTCCAGTGGTCATGGACAAACCAGTGTGCTTGATTGACACGGCGTCCGATGGGAAGCTGTGTGTGCAGGGGTCAGCGTTGCAGGTTCTGGAGCAGATCCAGCAGCCCGTGGTGGTGGTGGCTGTGGTGGGTCTCTACCGCACCGGGAAGTCCTATCTGATGAATCGACTGGCAGGGAAACAAACAGGTCAGCAGCACTGATGCCATCCAAACGCTCAAGCTGTTCAAATTAATGCATGCAAGTCATTGTGGGGTTTCTGGTGTGTGGTTATCAGGGTTTGCACTGGGCAGCACAATCGAGTCCAAGACGAAGGGCATCTGGATGTGGTGCGTGCCTCACCCCACTAAAGCAGAAACCACTCTGGTGCTGCTGGACACCGAGGGACTCGGAGACGTGGACAAGGTGACAAACTAAATATATTATATCATATCATAAATATATCATATATTATCTATGTGTCTTTCTGTCTGATGGTACACCAATCTCACAATCACAGATCATTCGGTATCAGGAACTGTGTGTCTGTTATGGGCTGTGGTCTCATGTCTGTCTCAGGGCGACTCAAAGCATGACACCAGGATCTTCTCTCTGGCTGTCCTTCTGAGCAGCACTCTAGTCCTGAACAGTCGAGGAACTATTGACAACAGGGCTATAGAGGAACTGCAGTATCCTTCTGATCAGAACTTATATTTCATTTTGAGTTTGAAGTTTGTTTAATATGAGAGATTGCAGAGTATTTAGGTAAATAGGTTAGTACTGTGTAAATTAGAAAGACTCCATGTAAAGCAACCTCCAAATTATAGATGTCTTTTGTCCATTTTGGAAATTAGCCATTAGCTAGAATTGCTCTGGTACAGCTCTTCTCAGTTTACATGATTGCTTTTATGTGTTGCAGTGAATGTTCAACAGTCCTTTAACTCCCACTAAACAGATACGTCACTGAGCTAACAGAGTACATCAAGATCAAGTCACCTGATGAAGCTGTAGATGATGCAGAGTTTGTCAAGTTCTTCCCCAGTTTCATCTGGGCCGTGAGGGACTTCACTCTGCAGCTAAACATCGATGGGAAAGACGCAACAGAGGACGAATACCTAGAGTTTGCTCTGAAGCTAAAACTAGGTAATATTTGAAGCCTGAAAGTTTTATTACCAGTTTTGTCAGAGAATGCGCTTTGTCATTCTGTTAGCAAACAAAGCCTTTCTAGCCACTTCCAGTCAATGATTTTAGCTTTCTGTGTTTATCTACAATGATACCCAAGATCATTTATCTATAACACGTTAACAAGCTAGCAGTTTATTTGATGTTCAAGTTTTCACTGTGTATTTTGACTGAAGGACAGCTTTGTGTTGTTCTCTTGAAGGTAACTCGAGTCAAGTGAACAATTACAACCTTCCAAGAGAGTGCATTCGCAAATACTTCCCATCTCGGAAATGTTTCACCTTCCCGTTCCCAACCAATCCAGACAATGTCTCTTATCTGGAGACACTGGACCCAGCTGAGATTTCACAAAGATTCTTGGAGGTCACGGGTCGTTTCTGCCAGTTTATCTTTGACCAGAGCCAAGTGAAAAATCTGAAAGATGGACACACGGTCACCGGCAGAGGTAACTCTTTGGTTCATGTAGCAGTGGCTAATCCAAGAGATCAAATTTATTTCTATAGCCCTTCTCACAATACACATACTGTAGTTGTTTCAAAGCAGCTTTCTAGAAAATAATACTGGCATGTCTGTAATGCTTTAACTTTGAGCAGTTTTAGAGCATAATGTTGATGATATAAATGGTCCACCATTTGAGATTTGGCCATACTGTATTTATTACTTTGTCTAGCATATAAATCAGTGCCGGACTAAATGAAAGTACTGACATTAGAGGAAAATGGAGAGAAGCTTTAATGGTATGGCATTAAAATGCAGTGTTATGTTGTGTTGAGAGATAAAGGTAACGTCTTGGTATAGAAAGAAAACTCATTTCAGGCATTACTGTGATGGGAAGTTACTCGTGTCATGGTGTAAGGTTTTGGTCATATCGCCCAACTCTAAATGGTTGAATCTGGGAGATGCTAGAAATTCACTTCACAGTGCTTTATGTGATGTGTTGGCGGTTAAACATACCACATGCTGGCTAATGCATTCAATATTGATAGTAACCACAGTTCAGGTACCACAACTTTTCAACAAATTCTCTATTGGTCACCATTTAATTTTAGTAATGTTGCTGTAGCAAGACAGTCTCTTAAAGTTCACCCAAAAATGAAAATTCTGTCATCATTTACACGCCCTCCTTTCATTCCAAACCTGTCATTCTTTCTTTTGTGGAATTTATTTTGAGAACTCTGTAGTTTTTTTGTACATACAAATGGAAGTCAATAGTAACCAAAATGGTTTAACCCAAAACAGTCATCAAATATTTGTTTTTTGAGTGAATTATGCTTTTAATGTTTTCTGTCTTTGCATCTTTATTCATCGACAACTAAAGCTTGAAAAACACTGTTCCAAAACTAAAGCTGATAGGATTGCATCCATTTATTTTGTACCGTACTTGTGTTTGACTCCTCTGCTTTCCTACAGTTCTGGGTCATCTAGTAAAAACATACGTAGACACCATCGCCAGTGGAGCTGTGCCGTGTCTGGAGAATGCTGTGATCTCAATGGCACTGATTGAGAATGAGGCTGCGGTGAAGGAGGGGCTTGAGGTGTACCAGAGTGGAATGGAGAAGCTGAAGAAGTCCTTCCCTCTGGAACTGAACGAAATCACCTCGGAACACCAATGCTTCAGTCTCATGGCAACACAGACCTTCATGAAACGCTCCTTCAGGGACAGTGATGGGAAGTACTTGGCATCTTTAGAGGTCGGTGGGAGTGGACAGATTACAACAATAGATGGTTTCAAGTCACTTTACGGATTGCTCACATTTTAACTGCTAATTAGGACTTTTAAGTAATTATGACTGCATTAGCTTACATTTTTACCCATTACAATACTCCCTTTACAGTTACTGCCATCTTAAAAATACACTTAAATGTAGGTTTAAAATCCAACAAAAGGCACATTTAATGTCCAACAACAAATATTTTAGCAAAATGCATATTTTACTCAGAACTATTGCGCTATTATTCTATTGCGCTCCGTCTGTTTAGCGCGCAGCAGCGCTCATTCTCTCGCCCACTCCTGACAGCACAATGGATATGTTTGCATGACTTTCTAACATTTACAGATGAAAAATATACCTGTGACATATCAGTTATGCACTGAGGAAAACTCAACGTCTCAAATGCATTAAACAGCACAGATATATTCGCTGTTTGCTATGGTGGATCGATTTGATCCATGATCAACATTAAGGACTTTAATCCCAGTTTTTCCTCGGGTCTCCGTGGTGTTGTGATGCGTCATATTCACGCTCAGCAGTGACGAGAGAACGCGCTTGAGAAACAGTTTAGAGAGGAGAAATCAATCTACATATAAAATATTGGTCACAGATTATAGGTTACTTTCTAAACAATAAAAGTAAAGTGCATCCACTAGTAATTATATATAAATAAATCGGTTTTTACTGATGCAAATATGTTAGAAGTGATGCATCGCGATACAAAATGCCAACTTGTATCCGATGCACACTTATTAAACCGATGCATCGCATCGTTAACTCTTTATGCCGATGCACTGAGCGAATCGGGGAATCTTCCCATCCCTGGTATCCAGTGGACAACATACTATGCACCTTATTTCTAAAGCAGGGCAAAGTTTGTAGCACAGATAAATGCACTTTGGTATTCTTGTAGAGAAATAGACTGAGAGTCAGAAGATTCCCGGTTCAAACCTGGTGTATTCTGGCTATGTGTCAAAGTGACCTTGAGCAAGACACTGAATGTTCCCAATGGTTGGGACAGGATACAGTGAATGATATTGCTTTGTAAGTTGCTTTGAAAAAAGCATCTGCTAAATAACTAGATTTGGTGAAGCGGATTTGCTATATTACTGTGCATTTTAAAAGCATTTTGAGAAATGAGAAGTGAGTCTGGATCTCCTAATCAGAAACAAGGTTTATTACAGGTTAAAAATGATCATCTTCTGTGCTCTTCTTATTTCTTAGTCAGCTTTTGTTGTTCATAGCTCAGAAATACAAGATGTCATTCCAATCTGTGTCATATAGTACCACAAAAATAAAAGCATCTTGTCTTTTTATGTGGCTGCACATTCTGGAAACAATCCAAGCTTCTTGTATCTGCTATCACGTGTTTTCCTGTTTGAAGTTGCTGATTTTGAAAGTGAAACTAAGAGTGAAACTGAAAATGTCACGAGACCAGGAACATCCCCTAACTCACTCTAGACCAATCAGCATCCAGAGTCTGGAGCTGAAGGTGTGTCTAAGAAACATGGGTAGAATATCAGGAAGCTGCAACATGAACACAACTCAGACTGAAGTTAGACTGGAGTGAACTAAAGCAAACCGGTAAGAGACGCTCCTTCATTCAGATCATTATAACACTTGTGCTGCTCTTATAACTGCACACAATACAATGTCCAGTGTTTCACACTCAGCATCAGCACAGCAGCAGATTCTTCATGTTTGTTTTTGCTCCTGCAGTTGATCATGTGTGACCGTGTGCCGTTGAGATTTCATGTTGGTGATTTAATTTTAGCACTCTATGAGTGTGTGTGTTTTTTAGTGAACTCTACAGCCTGACTTGTCTTGATAGATGGTCTGGACATGTTTTGTTAGAACTTCAACGGACTAAACCCAGTCTGGTTATAGACTGTAGCTGGGCACAAACAAATCTGACAGCATTTCTATGTGTCTTACTCAGCCTGCTTGTGTAGTTTGATGTGACGGTCCAATAACACTTTCACTTCTGCAGCAGAGATAACCTTAAAGGAGACCTATTATGCCCCTTTTTACAAGATGTAAAAATAGTCTCTGATGTCCCCAGAGTGTGTACATGAGGTTTGAGCTCAAAATACCCCACAGTAGAGCCCTGCACGGGCCTCAAATATAGGCCCTAGCCCGGCCCTTGTCTGACAGCTTATCAGAATTACCGACCCGAGCCCATCTCCCAAAACAGCTTATACTACTGTTTCAGCTATGAAAGTAGTTCAGTTTTGTATGTAACGGCAAAGTGATTATATTTCCTTTAGTTTTTTTATTAAGTTAATTTAGAAAAAAGTTTGGAGTGTTTTTTTTGTTCGTTAAATAAAGTTTTAGTTTTTTAAAGTAACGCCCAAGTGGCCAGCGGCAGACAGTGAGTTGATCATAGTCTGTTTGATCAATTTGCCTTCTCAAATCATCACGACTTGCCTACAATTTAAATCTATAGATATTAGGGATGTAACGATATTATCAATTTCGTGGTATCGCGATATCAAAATTGTCTTGATATTATCATGGTCACATGACGATATGAAACGATAAGTCTTCCAGGCAAAAAGTGTAGTTTTTTCAGCCCAGTGGAGCAGCGCGGAGGGAAGTGGGAACTACAATTCCCATCATACCCATCGCTCTGCTGCCTCTAACGTTACAGATCCAGTAGAGAGAAACTGGCGGACGCTGCTATTGGCGAAGGAGAAGAGAGAGATTGGGAAATTGTGGATGCAAAAGCAAATTTTAAATCTGAAGTGTAGAGGCATTTCGGTTTCCTCGTGAAAAGAAACGAGAAGGCTGGTGACGGACAGACAAAAAACGTTATGCAAACCCTGCCAGGCTGCGGTGAAATACACGTTGGCGAATACGACAAACATGAAGAGCCAAGTTAAATCATTACCCCGAAAAGTATCGTAAAGATACGAGGAACAAAATCCAGCCGGGCCAAAAGACTATAAAGGAAGCATTTACAATCTCACTCCCCCAAGACAAAATCACAAGATGCATCGGTGAATATATATATTTACATTTAGTAATTTAGCAGATGCTTTTATCAAAAGCGACTTACAAATGAGGACAATGGAAGCAATCAAAATCAACAAAAGAGCATATATAGCCAAAGACCTACAGCCATCCTCCGTGGTGGACAGCAAAGGTTTTAGGAGCTTATCAAACACGCTCGAGCTAAAGAATAAAATTCCATCACGGCCATACTTTAGTCAAACGATATTACCAGCTCTCTACAAAGAGACAAGGGCTAAAGTTGTACAGAGCCTAAAACAAGCGGAGTGCATTTTTGACAGCAGGGGACATTGTAAATGCCCAGAGATCCCAGCTTCTACCTGAAAATGTTGATATGCTCATCATTCCTTAGAGTGAGTGAGCGAGTCAGTCAGTAAATGAGTGAATCAGTGAGTGAATTAGTGAGTGATACTTATTCAGCTCTAGGTCCAGCTGCAATAAGTAGGCTGCTATTTTTATTTTTACTGGGTTGTTTTTGTTTTCAAGAATTGACCCATCTCAAAGCCCACCCTCTTGTCTTGACCCTTCATTCACAATTGTTGCTTTCCTAGCACAACAAAGCAACAGCGTGTGATTGGAGGCAAAAGAAAAGAGGCCTTAAAATAGGTCAATTGAGGGAGTGACTCACAATCCTCAAAACCCGATTTTTGTTTTAGCTGTTAAAAGTTGACAAACTAAACTGAAACTTTACTTTATTTGTTTTTTTATCACTGGGTCTGATTAATTTTTTCCTTGTTATGAAAACTGAAAACACTATACTTGAAGTTCCTGTTTCAATCCGACTTTTTTTGCACTTTAAAGTTGATACCTAATCTACGAGGTAGTTATGTTGTAGCATAGAGAATGATGTTACCTCATACCTCTAAGCAAGTTATGATTAGAGGATAAATGTGCTCCTAATATGGTCAGAACTTCCTGCCCATATTCCCATTTTATATAACGTACAGATGTAATCTACAACCTTTGGGCTCTAGAGGTAGCAGGAAGGACAACCCTTTGTTTGCTAGACATTCCTATATGATGAAGTGTGCAATTCTCATTGAATAAACCACTACACCACCCCTTACAATGTATCTATATAATCTACTGATGTAATAATAAACTTTGGAGAAGTTTGTGAACAGACAATTGGCTTCATGTTCATAACTCTTTCCATGGGCCCATATCTTATGAATGATAAGGAACTGAGAGTGTTTGGTGACAAGAGATAACGGGGTTCATTTATTAACGTTCAGTCACTGTTTAATAAACACTTATGGCACTTTTTTCCAAGTCTTCATTTGTCTTTTTTTTGATTATATTTAAATATCGCAATAAATACTGTATCGTGGATTTAATATCGTGATATTATTGTATCGTGAGATTTTGATATCATTAAATCTCTATTACATAGTATTACAGATAGTCAATCTAAAATAATGACTGTGCAATAACAGCTGTCAACCAGCTCAGTATGCAAATGAGTGTCCGAACTTATTTTCCAAGTGCATTTTTTATTTTGGGTGCGCATTCAGCATGTTGTTGGCTTTTGAGAATGGACAGATGCTTTCAGTCTTGTGCTAGCTTGCTAGTTTTCTGTAAAGTGGAGGTGGGGACATCTCGACCTGCTTAAATGGAGCTCTAAATGTTATAGCCTGTAGTTGTGTGAGTACCTTTCATTGAGTTGAATGTAAATGCAAATTCAAGGCTATTTCCAGTTTATTATTCTAACTTCACAAATGTGGTTCTGCATCTTAGGGGGACTCGAAGCATGACACAAACATCTTCTGTCTGGCTGTGTTACTGAGCAGCACTCTGGTCTACAACAGTCGAGGGACGATCGACAACAGGGCTGTAGAGGAGCTGCAGTATCCTTCTGAACATTTATCTAGATTTTAATTAATTTATTTATTAATTAATTAATTTATTTGTTTATTTGCAAAAGAAAGAGATTGTTCAGATGTTTACCACCATTTCACCCAGGAAAAACATGTGCAAATGTGCTTGCTTTGTGAATGCTTTATATAAAAAATATATTTATATAGTTACATGTACTACAATGTAAAAACATGATTGGCAGAAGTTAATTAATTTTAATTGCAGTATTCCATTATGCAGTTTTTGGCAGCTAAACCCTCTTCTATCTCTAAACCTAACAATTTCTTTAAAGTATACACAATATAAAGAAAAAACATGATAGACAGGCAAGTGTAAGCACAATAACTTATTCCAAAAATGACAACAAGCAGTACCAAAGTAGTCCAATCAAAGTTTAATTTGAAGTGCTGTCTGGTGCTGTACAACAGTATAGAGTGGTGTATAGAGTAGTGTTGCACGATATACTGGTACTAAAAAGGTATCGCAATACCCTGCTTTTAAAAACAGTATGATTCCTCATTTTACCAGTACCGGTTCTTTAAGAATGACAGCAGTTTAATAAGAGCCGTATTTCCTGAGTTGTGTCGACATGCAGCACCAGGGCAGAGTGTGTGCAGCGCTCTGCTTCTCTCCCTGCAGGCACACTGGCCATGCCAACTTTATATATCCACACAACGCAGAACTGCCTAACTGTACTGACAAGACAAGAAACATGCATGAATAAGAAAATAAATCACGGGATGTGTTTGATGTTAAAAAGAGATATTATACGCAATAAATCTTGAAAAAAAACCTCAATAAAAGTACAGTGTGCACACACAGAAAGCCACCTCTCTCAGACAGCAATAGAATCGTGATTTCAGATCTCTTTCACTTCTTATAGTATTTCAATAGTCAAATACACACACAGTTATGTTAAAATGACTGTCTTGGCTTATAACTTAAGTAAATTGTGAACAGCTGAGAAAGAAAACGTGTGTGTATCTATAGATCCATGCAGCTCTTAAAGTGACAGCAGACTTATATTCCTGCTGCTGCCTGTATCAATAATGTTAATCAAACAACAACAGAAAAAGAGAAAATCACTCACTGATCTTGACTGACTAAATTTTGTAGCTTTATTAAGTATCACCACGAGCTCATGCCGTCAAATATAAGTCAAATGAGAGTGATTTATTTTGTGACACATTAACTTTTTCACCATCTTCGTTTGATGGGGCAATTGAGATCAGTAATAACCTTCTAATTTGGCTTTATCCTTTTAACTGAGCAATGTTGCAAAGATCTATATTTACCTGTAGACTCAATTCTATCATAGACTGATAGTTGCTTACCACAGTGTGGTCGCACTGGCATGAGATTATTAATTTATTTAAAGAGGGAGAAAATGCTCAAAAAGCAGGGCAGGCACACACTTCAGAAATAAGTAAACTCTTTTTTGGCCAGGAGCCAAAGGGTCTGTGGTAATGGAGGGTATTTTCTGATATTTCCTGGTGATATATCCCAAGGTTAACATATAAAACGTGAAAAGCAGTGGTTCTAGTACTGAGCCTTGAGGTACTCCATACTGTACTTGTGATCAATATGATACCTCTTCATTCACTGCTAGGAATGGATGACGTCAGATAAGTATGATTTGAACCATGCCAATGCAATTCCACTAATGCCAACATAATTTTGTAGTCTACTTAAAAGAGTGTTGTGATCAATAGTATCAAGCGCAGCGCTAAGATCCAGTAGCACTAATAGAGAGCTACAACCACGATTAGACGATAAGAGCAGGTCATTTGTAGCTCTGATGAGAGCAGTCTCAGTACTATGATACGGTCTAAATCCTGACTGTAAATCCTCACAGATACCATTTTTCTCAAAGAAGGAACATAGTTGTGAGGATACTACCTTTTCTAGTATCTTTGACAGAAATGGGAGATTCGAGATCGGTCTGTAATTAACTAATATTCTTCAGGGTAAAGTTGTGTTTTTTTTATTTATTTTTTTATTAAGAGAGGCTTAATAACAGCCAGTTTGAAGGTTTTGGGGACATATCCTAATAACATTGACAAATTAATAATATTCAGAAGAGGATCTATGACTTCTTGAAGCACCTCTTTTAGTAGCTTAGATAATATCGGGTCTAACATACATGTTGTTGTTTTTGATGATTTAACAAGTTTATACAATTCTTGTTCCTCAGGGGATCTATAGAGCATTATCTGATGCAATAGTATCATTATCTGATAGTGATTGCATCAATTGGCAGATCTAGCAGTTTTTGAGGCTTTTCTGTAGGAGGAAGTATTTTCCCTCATTGCAATATGAAATGCTCTCTTTAGGGCATGAGTGTGCTTGTTATACCAATGTGTTGGAATGTTTTCCTTCATCTTTTTTAAGGGTAACAGAGCAACCGTGTCTAAAGTGCTAGAAAAGAGAGAGTTCATAGTTTCATGCTGAGGAGACAAATCAGGAATATTATTTACAAAGTCTTTTGTCATAGAAGTGATGGTTCTACCATATTTGTAACAAGGAGTTGAGTTTTTAGCTATATGGATTATGCATAAGACTAGAGAATGATCTGAGATATCAACGCTCTGCTGCAGAATTAAATCTAGAGTTTAGAGTTATTTAATTTAGTTATTAAATAGAGTTTAGAATGTCTATAAATGCTTATCCCAATGCATCTTTTTGTATTATCTACATGGATATTATATTACACTAGATGATATTATATGAAGCACCATCACTTCAAATGAATTTAACTTGAAATCAGACTTTTGACAAATATGGAAAATATTGCTATAAATTGTAGCAACACCTTCCCCTTTACTATTTGGACGCAGCTCATATCAGTAATCTTGAGGGGTAAAATCGTTTCAAGTAATGCAATCACCTGGTTTTAGACGGGTTTCTGTCAAACAGAGCATATCTAGGTTATGATCCGTGATCGTATCATTTACAAAAAGCACTTTCGTAGAAAGGGATCTAATATTCATTAAGCCAAAGTTTTTCATTTGTTTATCTGTCTTATATATGTTTTGTATTTGTTGAACATCAATTAAATTATTGCCCTTAAATTGGTTTGGGCATTTTTTGTATTTGTCTCTATAGTATGATATCTAGGTGAAGGGTTCTCTGTGTATATTTTCATTTCCAAAGAGATTTCCTGGAACTAGAGGACCACAGTGTCCTCATACTGCCTGCATTTAAACAGAGATTGCTGATCCATCATACAGGCAACCAAGGATATGTCATTAATATTTTTCAAAAGTGGCAAACCATTGGCATTATACGTAATTTGTCTCATCTCATCTCATCTACCTCCGCTTATCCGAAGCTGGGTCGCGGGGGCAGTTGTCTGAGCAGATTCCCCCAGACTTCCCTCTCCCCACACACCTCATCCAGCTCCTCTGGGGCAACCCCAAGGCGTTCCCAGGCCAGCTGGGAGACATAGTCTCTCCAACGTGTCCTGGGTCTGCCCCGAGGCCTCCTCCCAGTGGGACATGCCCGGAACACCTCACCCGGGAGGCGTCCAGGAGGCATCCGAAAGGCATCCCAAGCCACCTCAACTGGTTCCTCAATGCGGAAGAGCAGCGGCTCTACTCCGAGCTCCTCCCGGGTGACTGAACTCCTCACCCTATCCCTAAGGGTGCGCCCAGCCACTCTGCGGAGGAAACTCATTTCTGCCGCTTGTATCCGCGATCTCATTCTTTCGGGCATGATCCAGAGTTCATGACCATAGGTGAGGGTAGGAACGTAGATCGACTGGTAAATTGAGAGCTTCGCCTTAAGACTCAGCTCCTTCTTCACCAAAACAGACCGGTACAATGACCACATTACTGCGGACGCAGCACCAATCCGTCTGTCAACCTGCCGCTCCATTTTTCCCTCACTCGTGAACAAGACCCCGAGATACTTAAACTCCTCCACTTGAGGAAGCAACTCCCCCCCCCCAACCTGGAGGGGGCAATCCACCTTTTTCCGACTGAGAACCATGGCTTCGGATTTGGAAGTGCTGATTCTCATCCCCGCCGCTTCGCACTCAGCTGCAAACATCTCCAGTGCATGCTGCAAGTCTTGATTTGATGATGCCAACAGGACCACATCATCCACAAAAAGCAGAGACGATATCTTGCAGCCACCAAAATAGACACCCTCCGCACCCTGGCTGCGCCTAGAAATTCTGTCCATGAAAATAATGAACAGAATCGGTGACAAAGGGCAGCCCTGGCGGAGTCCGACATGCACCGGAAACAGGTCTGACTTACTGCCGGCAATGCGAACCAAGCTCCTGCTCCGGTCATACAGGGAACGAACAGCCCGTAACAACGAGCCCTGAACCCCATAATCCCGAAGTACTTCCCACAGGATGCCACGAGGAGCACGGCCGAATGCCTTCTCCAGGTCCACAAAGCACATATGGACTGGTTGGGCAAACTCCCATGAACCCTCCAACACCCTAGTGAGGGTATAGAGATGGTCCAGTGTTCCAGGGCCAGGGCGAAAACTTCATTGCTCCTCCTGAATCCGAGGTTCAACTATCGGTCAGATTCTCCTCTCCAGTAACCTGGCATAGACTTTCCCAGGGAGGCTGAGGAGCGTGATCCCCCTATAGTTGGAACACACCCTCCGATCCCCTTTCTTAAAAAGAAGGACCACCACCCCGGTCCGCCAGTCCAAAGGCACTGTTTCCGAACTCCAAGCAATGCCACAGAGGCATGTCAGCCAAGACAGCCCCACAACATCCAGAGACTTGAGAAACTCGGGCCGGACCTCATCCACCCCCGGAGCCTTGCCACCGCAGAGTTTTTTGACTACCTCAGCAACTTCAGCCAGAGTGATGGACGAGCCCCCTGAGTCCCCAGCCTCAGCTTCCTTTACGGAGGGCGTGTTGGAGGGATTGAGGAGATCCTCAAAGTACTCTTTCCACCGCCTGATGACATCCCGCCAGCGGCTTCAGGAGTCCCATGGGTTAGCCAGACCTGATAGAACTCCTTCTTCAGCTTGACAGCATCCCTTACTTCCGGTGTCCACCACAGTGTTCGGGGATTGCTGCCACGACAGTGAGACTTTACGGCCGCAGCTCCGAACTGCCGCCCCGACAATGGAGGTGTGGAACATAGTCTATTCAGACTCAATGTCCCAGGCCTCCATCAGGACCTGGTTGAAGCTCTGTCGCAGGTGGGAGTTGAAGACCTCTCTGACGGGGGACTCTGCCAAACGTTCCCAACAGACCCTCACTATGCGTTTGGGCCGGCCAGGTCTGTCCAGCCTTCTCCCCCGCCATCGAATCCAACTCACCACCAGGTGGTGATCAATTGACAGCTCAGCCCCTCTCTTTACCCGAGTGTCCAAGACATATGGCCGAAGATCAGAAGAAACGACTACAAAGTCGATTATCGAACTCCGACCTAGGGTGTCCTGGTGCCACGTGCACTGATGGACACCCTTATGCTTGAACATGGTGTTCGTTATGGACAAACCGTGACTAAAACATAAATCCAATAACAACTCACCACTCGGGTTCAGATCAGGGAGGCCGTTCCTCCCAATCACGCCCCTCCAGGTGTCACTGTCGCTGCCCACGTGGGCGTTAAAGTCCCCCAGTAGAACAACAGAGTCCCAAGTGGGAGCGCTTTGCAGCACGCCCCCCAGGGACTCTAAAAAGGCCGGGTACTCTGCACTGCCATTAGGCGCATAAGCACAAACGACAGTGAGAGACTGTTCCCTGACCAGAAGGCGCAGGGAGACGACCCTCTCATTCACAGGGGTGAACTCCAACACATGGCGGCTGAACTGGGGGGCAATTAACAAGCCCACACCAGCCCGCCACCTCTCACCCCGGGCAATGCCAGAATAGTGGAGAGTCCACCCTTGGTTGAGAAGAATGGTTCCAGAACCCAAAATGTGAGTGGAAGTGAGCCCGACTATATCTAGACGGTATCTCTCAACCTCCTGTACCAGCTCAGGCTCCTTCCCCTCCAGTGAGGTAACATTCCAAGTCCCAAAAACCAGAGTTGGCACCCGAGGTTTGGGTCGGCCGGGCACTCGGCCCTGACCACCGCCCAAATCACAACGCACCGGCCCCCTATGGCCTCTCCGGCAGGTGGTGAGCCCACCGAAGAGCGGCTCCACGTCATAGTTTCGGGCTGAGCCCAGCCAGGCCCTGTGGGCATAGACCTATGTAATACGTAATTTGTGTATTTGGAAAACAAAATAGGTGACAAGACACAGCCTTGTGGGACCCCAGTATTTACAATGATGCTACTAGATTTAAAACCATTAACTGAGTGTGGACACCGTTCTTGAACTGATACCTGAGCTCTCTCCATCATCGTGTTGAGCCTCTGCCACGCTGCCCTTGCATTTCCCTGGTGAACCTCTCCTCCATCTTATCTTTATAACAGTGCTTGGCAAGCTTGGTTTTAGTATCGCATTATTGTCTGATATTAACATATGCACCAGATATGTAAGCGTGTTAACATCGCAGCTGTTTAAGAGACAGCATTATTATAGTTGTCTGCAATGCATTTAGCTGCAAGAGCATTATCAGGACCAGAGACACAATCATGGTCACTTGTGTGAACTCACAAGGTAAATAGCGAGGACATAATGGCACAGTCATAATTTCATGAGTCATGCGAATTGTAAAGTCAGTTGCCTATTTATCATTTACAGCAAAGCAAACCTCTTGTCAAATTTCGAAAACTACCCAAGCGACGTTAAATTCAATTTTTGTGCAAAAACAATGAAACAAATAAAACAATACAAATATACAACAGTATTATATAAGTAAAACAATTAAATGTTTAAACAATTACAGAAATTCTATTCATTATAGGATTTCAAGGTGTAGTCTTGTTTAAAATTATGTAATACTTTTGTAACACATAATTATGTAAAATTGGCACCAGAAGTCACAAAGAACAGAATAAAATGTTATAATTAATAAATGACTCAACTGCGTTAAATACAATTGAAAACATAATCTCACTGATCATAAATACGACAGAATCAACCAATAAATTCCATAAGGCACTTCCATTCATAAATATTTGTAAATGTGTACATCTGTAAAGTTATTTATTCATAAATGATGTTTTAGATGCTTTTAAATCAATATTATACATTTTATTGTCTATGTAAATGTACATGGTAGAACCACGCTTAATGTAAAATACACACAAATACTAATGGAATCATGTTGGACAGTCACTTTGTGTTCATACCTAAACAAACTGTCAGATATGTTACTGAACTAACAGAGTGCATCAAGGTCAAATCATCAGACGAGGATGTTGATGATTCAAATGAGTTTGTGAAGTTCTTCCCTAGTTTCATCTGGGCAGTGAGGGACTTCACCCTGGAGCGAAAGATTGATGGCAAAGATGCAACAGAGAATGATTATCTAGAGTTTGCTCTGAAGCTGAAACATGGTAATTTAAGTATGGTACAAAAGATTATTTTAAGAGCCCTCACAATCACTACCACAATGAGCTCTTGTAATGAGTTTTTCCAAACTTAATGGTTTATCAACAGATCTTTCTTACACTTACATCACTTATTCTGGTTCTATTTAAGATCCTAGTTTTTGGTGTACTGCATTTTGTTTAAATTGATATCTTTGTCTTTTTTTTTTTTAGACAAGTCAGTTTCAAATCAGTTTTTCTGCTACTGAAAATGATAGCATAGGATGCAACTTTGCAATATGTCTAAAGTTAAAAACGTTAAGTCTTAACTGTATGTTTCACATGGGGGTGAAATGTCAAAAAAGAACCCAAGATCACCCCAAGATTCAGTTTTATTTGAAACTCTAGTACAGAGCCATCAATAGTTAGAGGTATTCAGCCAGTTTTATGGAGCTGGTGAGGTAAGCTGAGAAGCATAACTTCAGTCTCATCACTGTTTAGAAACAGAACATTGTTAGCCATCTATGTTTTTTGTCAGAAATACATTTAACTGGATCATTTTTATCTGGATCAGATCAGGAGCATGTGATGTTCGGTGTCTTGCCCAAGGACACTTCATCGATTGGTTAGGTGAAACTGGGATTTAAGCTGGGAATCCTCTATCTCCCAGTCAACATATCTACTCCCTGAACCAGTGTTGTTCATCCACAGCAGATAGTGTTCTCCCTGTTCCAACTCTAGATCAGTGGTTCTCAATTCCAGTCCTTGCGACCCCCTGCTCTGCACATTTTGTATGTATCTCTTACACTTCAGATATTTGTTCTATTCGACCGTAAGTGCTTTGTAAAGTGGACATCCCAGGATATTTTGCCAAGATTCCCGTTGGAAGGGAGCGCATATATTCCATTTAAAGGGCGTTAAAGTTTGTGAGATGTGAATTTAAATTGTATTTATTTACACAGGTGTATATTATGTCACTTCTCTAGTAAGTTTTGTCTGTGTGAAGACACTGCAGACTGTGGCGTAGCGCAAATCCGTGAACGATTGTTCTGGAGTTTATTAAACTTCAGTGGATTTCCCATGCTCAGGGAGTAGGGAGCAATCAACACTGTGTAGGAACCATGTCAATCGGAACACAGTTCATTAAGCTATCTTACAATGAGCTGGTTATCTGAATTAGGTGTGTTCAGTAAGAGAGACATGCAAAATATGCAGAGCGGTGGTACGCGAGGACTGGAATTAGGAACCACTGCTCTAGACCAGGGGTGCCGAAAACTCCTGGAGGGCCACTGTCTTGCAGAGTTTAGCTCCAACTTGCCTCAACACACCTGTCTGGAAGTTTCTAGTGTGCCTAGTAAGACCTTGATTAGATGGTGCAGATGTGTTTAATTGGGGTTGGAGCTAATCTCTGCAGAACACTGGCCCTCCAGGAGCAGGACTGGATACCTAGATAATAGCATACATTTATCCACTGAGTTCCTTGAGGTTACAGGACGTTTCTGCAAGTTTGTCTTTGACAAGAGTGATGTGAAGAAGCTGAAGGATGGATACACAGTCACTGGCAGAGGTGATTCAAAAAGACATTCGAAGAGTTTGCATATGTGCTTTCAGTGGAATATCTATTGCTCAATCATTTTGTTTGACTTCTTTCCTTCTTTGAAAGTTCTGGGTCATCTAGCAGGGATATACGTAGACACCATCTCTAGTGGGGCTGTGCCGTGTCTGGAGAATGCTGTGATCGCCATGGCAATGATTGAGAATCAAGCTGCGGTGAAGGAGGGGCTTGAGGTGTACCAGAGTGGAATGGAGAAGCTGAAGAACTCCTTCCCTCTGGAATTAAAGGTTGTGTCCTCGGAACACCAACGTCTCAGCAGCATGGCAACACAAACCTTCATGACTCGATCTTTCAGGGACACTGATGGGAAGCACCTGAAATCTCTAGAGGTTAGCTGGATCTCTCTCTGAGGAGGTCCTTTGAGCTTACTGATAGAGAGATGTTCTTTCAGAGTAGTGAATGAGATCTGGACATTCTCCCTGATTCCATCTTCTCGTATATACCATTCTGTGCTGACAGTGTTATTCCAAATAAACAAGTCAGACCAAATAGCAAGCCCTAAGTCACCAAAAAACTGAAACACTGTCGGTATGTTTTTTTTAGGAAAAAGTTAATGAACTCTTTGATGGATACCTGTGCCAAAATGAGCAAGCTTCAAAGAAAAGATGCGAGGATCTCCTGTCATCCCTCTCAGCAACAATGACTGAAAAACTCAAACAGGGCATCTTTGCTAAATCTGGTGGCTATGATCTCTTCTGCAAGGATCTGGAGGACATTGTGAAGAAATACAACAGCCAGACCAATAAAGAAGTCAAGGTCTTGTCTATATTGCACAACTTAATGACATTTTAAAACATTTTGTTCTGATATAGCTTCTAAGGTCTGTGTGTGTCAACAGGCTGAAGCGGTCTTCAAGGTGTTTCTGAAGCAGAAGTCTGTGGATTCTAAAGCTATTCTGCAGGCCGACAAAAGACTGACTGAGAAGGAAAAAAAGATTAAAGGTAAGAGTTCCCCATTCTTTACTTGTGAAAGAAGTGCTCAAAGGTTTAGGTACTTGTTTAGGTGATAAGCTTCAAATGCAATAAATAGCACTAACAAGTAGCAATAAATAAAACAAAGTTTTTCACAGAAGTGTAATGAATAATTAAAAATTTTTTACCTTGCAGTTTATATCGGCCTTACAATAAAATAGACCGTTGATATAAAGGTTTGAGTTTTTTCTCTATCTGTAAAGCATATCTTTCCTTCTTCTTCTTTTTGTCAATGACCAGAGGAAACAGAGAAAGCCATACTCCTGGAGCAGGAAATCAAAGCTAAAGAGGAGGCGCAGCGACAGTTACTAGAGAAGATGGAAGCAGAAAGACAGAGTAATGAAGAGAGGATGAGACAGATGAAGGAGAAGATGGATGAGGAGATGAGGCTTCAGAGAGAGGAGGCCGAGCGTGCCATGGACAGCAAACTGAGGGAGCAGGCCGCTCTGCTGGAGAAGGGCTTTCAGGAGAAGGCTGACAGAATGAGCCAGGAGATGGAAGAGTTCAAGAGACAGAACGCTGAAGCTGAGAGTAATAGAGCTCGAGAGTTTGCAGAGCTGTTGGAGAACTCCAGCAAGAGACAGGAGGAGTCTGTGGCTATGATGATGCAGCAGCACCGTGAACAGATGAAGGCTTTACAGCAGCAGATGAGTGCGCGCCCTTTGGGTGGATGTTGCATCATGTGAAATGCATTAAGAGGCATGTAATTGTACAATGCAATTTACTTACTGTAAAATGAGTTTGTACCTCTACATATAACAGTATTGTTTCCATATACAGTTAAACTACAATTAAACTGAGTGCTATCATTATTCAGACAAGTAATTGACCCTTCGCTAAGACCCCCTCAGTTACCGTTTTGTGGCTCTTTAATGTGTTGTGACGTATCGCTGTAGCATCTCAGATCAAGCAGCACATGTTCCTTTATTACTAGTTATAGCACAAAATAAACATGAATGAACATCAGAAGGTATTTTGTATCTCATTTCAACCACAGAGAGACAATACACACCATTTTTAAAGTTCAAGTCCACTGAAGTTAATCTACTCTCCTTTCTGGTTTGTTTGACAGACAAAATGGCTCATTCTGCATTAGTCAGATCCCCTGTCAATCAAACTCCCGGGGAAGGGTGAATTGAGACGAATAATGAGTCAATTACACATTAAGATTCTCATTTTCATTGTTCATCTTTTCACTGAATCTGATGTCTGCATACTCCACTGAACTATACAAATAAAGTTAATGATGTCAAGGGAGATCATGACTCAAACAATGACTCAAAAAACCTGCATTTTGTTTGTTGGCCACAGATCTGAAATGGTTAACAGTTTGGATTTTCAGGATGTGAATAACCCATTATAACTGCAATATTAAATGGGACCTATAATGCCCCTTTGTAAAAGATGTAATAAAACTCTCAAGTGTCCCTAGAATGTGTCTGTGAAGTTTCAGCTCAAAATACCCCACAGATCATTTATTACATCATTTTAAAAATGCCTAGTTTGAGTGGAAGCAGAAACGGGCTGTTTTCGTGCATGTCTCTTTAAATGCTAATGAGCTGCTGCTCCCCGCCCCCTTTTCCAGATACTCACATTTTCTGCCAAAACAAAACGTCACGGTCATGGTCACGTGACATTGCAGGACATCCTGGAAGTTTATTATTTGCACACGTTTTAAAGCTATGTAACTTCTGATATAGGGTTTTCTCAGTGCACAGAAAGCTGTCTGTCAGACTGTCAGTACTAAACTATGTTCTCTTTATGTCTTATTGTGCTTAAATACACAGAAGGCTATGTCAAAAACACACATTTCACATAAACACGTCTGTTTTAAATGTCTGCCATGTTGCATGTGAGCTCTTGTGGTGGGATGTACAAAAGGTCTTTTGTAGTTACAGCCTTCTTCTACTAGACATCTCCTGTCACAGTCTCCGTCTGTTTAGTTTATTTGCAGTTTGGTTTTCCTTGTTCATGTTTTGTCTGTGTTCTTAGTCTGATTAGATTCTGATTACTCCCTCGTTCGTTTCCATGTTTACTCATTAGTTCTCACCTGTTCTGATTCAGTTAATCATCTGTCTATTTAAACCCAGAGTTCTGTCAGTTTCTTTGTCCAATATTGTATTTGAGTTAATAGACTACGATACAGCAAGATCATCGCACAGTGTGTTTACGATCCACGTTTACTGACCAGCCAATAAAAACGCGACATGGCGCTAAAACATAAAACTGCTTACCTCAAGCTCTTATCCCTTCCTCTTTCACCGCTTCCAGTTTTCTTCAGCACACATAAAAAAATACAACTGCTAAAGTGTGATTTATCATGCTTTTTGTTTAAAACTTCATCAGCATGCGCTAGTAGTGTTCTTCTATAGTAACGTGCGTCGTAGCGTACGAGTCAACATCATCGTACAGTCTACACACACGTCGTAGCCAAGTTTATCAGATCCCAGTGTGACATGCAATGATCTTATAGGATTGCTAAAATCGTGCAGTGTGTTTAGGGCTTTACAATCTTAAGGACTGGTCTTCTTGTAGTCTGGCTAATTTCCAGGATACCCAGGACCCATGTCTTGCTTCTCTGCCATGAATGTTGACATGTAAAGCCTGATTTGGACGGTAATTGTTTCTCATGGGCACTTAAGTGATTTTCGACATTTACAGGGGTTAGTCAGTAATTTTATTAGCATCCGAATCCAGAATGCTGGTGTTTTTCTCTCACCACTCACGTAAAAATTCCCGGCCGAATTACCTACTGTTTTTTGACAAACACCAAGGTTGTGTGGTAATATAATTGGGTTACACTTTATTTCGATAGTCCACTTTAGACATTCTACTAACTATAAGTAACTTTGTAACTACATGTCAACTAATTCTCATTAATTTGCAACTACATGTCTACTAACTCTCAGAGTAGACTGTTAGGGTAGGTTTAGGGTTAGTAGAATAAGTTGACAAAGAAAGAGTTAGAAGATATTAAGCAGACAGTCTACTAATACTCTACTAACTGCTAGTTGACATGTAGTTGCAAAGTTACTTACTGTTAATAGAATGTCTAAAGTGGACTATCGAAATAAAGTGTTACCTATAATTGTCATCCGAATAACGTTGGCTAAAAAAAAGCACAAACTTTCCTCTGTTATTGGTGTTGATGGAGCTTAGGGTCATAGTTTATTTATTCTTCTACATGATGTTATTATCAGACCATCATATGAATGTTGACCCCAAGTCGTCTGAATCATGTGAGAGAATAAATCAATGATGACCTGAACAACCTGAAATGTCTCATGCACAACACTACAGACAAATCAATCCAAAAAGACAAGGAGAGAGCGATTGTCTGTGGCCACCACCTGCAAAACCATGCTCCTTTTTGGGGGTAGTCTTGCTGTTGCCTCTCCAGTCGTCACTTTGGTGAAACTGATTCACAATCACTGGAGATTTCCAACTGGACAGATTGATTTCCCTAAGGTTTAAGTGACTTGGTGTGATGGTCAAGTTTTCCATTAATGTTCTGAGCAGTCTATAATCATCAAATAAATAACCTCCCACATTATACACAATGGTTTCGTCAGTTTCTGAAAGGCATCATAACAGGGAAAATATTACAAATATATTAAAATAGTACAACAAACAAAAACAACCAGTATTGTGTAAACGTATGCAAGTTTTAGCACAACCTTTCTCAAATCTTTTGTCAAATCAGCGTAGCTTTGTAATCTCTGACCCTGGACCACAAAACCAGTCATAAGGGTAATGTTAGTCATAACTGCTAGGATCGGACAATATTTGGCTGAGATACAACTATTTGAAAATCTGGAATCTGAGGGTGCAAAAAAATCTAAATATTGAGAAAATCATCTTTAAAGTTGTCCAAATGAAGTTCTTAGCAATGCATATTACTAATCAAAAATTAAGTTTTGATATATTTACGGTAGGAAATCTACACAATATCTTCATGGAACATGATCTTTACTTAATATCCTAATGATTTTTGGCATAAAAGAAAAATGGATCATTTTGACCCATACAATGTATTGTTGGCTATTGCTACAAATATACCCCAGCGACTTAAGACTGCTTTTGTGCTGCAGGGTTGCATTTTAGTTTAAATGAACTAAATTTAAAGATGATGGATAAACGCACACACCTTGTCCTCCGCGGACTGAAGAGCAAAGCTTGCTGCAGTTTTAAAGGGGACTGAGGCTATCACAAATCTGTGTACAGATTACGAAGCTAGTAACACAGTTTTTTTAGAGGGACAGAGTACAAATTTAATTAAAAAAAACTTCTTGAGCACAAGATTGTTTCACCATGAAATGTGTTCCACCGTGTCTGTGTAAATCAGTTATTGTGTGAAACTCATAAAGACACAGTGTTCCATGCCATTCACACATTAGAGCTACTCTATTTTCTCTATGGCATTAGGATGTTCCCTATTTGCTTAGCTAACTCTGTGACATATCTGTAGATGGTTTAGGTTTGTATACTGAGTTAATTAAAGCCATTAATGATCTCTTCCATGGATACTTGAGTCAAAATGTGGAGGTTTCAAAGAAACGATGTGAGAATATTCTCTCTCAGCCCTCGCTGGAACAATGACAGAGAAGCTGAAGAAAGGATCCTATGCCATACCTGGTGGTTATCTTCTCTTCTCCCAGGACCTTGAAGACATTATGAAGAAATATAAAATACAAGCCAATAAAGGAGTCAAGGTGATTATCAATGTGTGACACAACCTGGCCTTTTAGATATGAAGAGATCTCTGTAAGAGTCAATGTTTTCCTTTACTATGTGTTCACAGAATCTAGAATCAGCTGGGAATAATAGTGTTCCTGGTTTAAATCCTTCTGGTCAAATATTGAAGTGGCCTTGAGCAGGACACTGACTACTCTGCTGGCTGAGACATGGACACTTGTTGATTTATAGGTTGATTTGGACAAAAGCAGAACTGCATGATGAAACGACTTGTTCTGCTGCAATGTTGACCCGACGTGAAGCGAAGCCTCTGCAAAGTGCATTAAAATAATTTAATGCACAGCTAGCCATCCATTATCCCTTACTTAAACACTTTCCACTAAGCTTTATTTTTTTTGCCTGATTGTTTTCCTCCAGAGGAAAGAGAGAAGGCCATTCTCCTTTCAGCCAAAGCAATGCACTAGTGATGGAGGGTCCCATCCCCATCATCGGGAGCAAGTGGAGTTCAGTGTCTTCCCCGGGGATCCTTCAACATCTGGACTGGAGGAACCACGATTCAAACTCTGAAACGTTTGATTCCAGCGCTGCTTCTCGTTTCTTCAATAGTACATCCTCAAAAATCTTGCCTCATCATGGTGTTATTAGACAATTGATACATCATATTTGTATATTATTATTATTATTACACTGAACAAAAATATAAACCCAACACTTTTGTTTTTGCCCCCACTTTTCATGAGCTGAACTCAAAGATCTAAGACTTTTTCTATTTACACAATAGAAATCTGTGTTAGTGAGCACTTCTCCTTTGCCGAGATAATCCATCCACCTCACAGGTGTGGCATATCAAGAAGCTGATTAGACAGCATGATTATTGCACAGGTGTGCCTTAGGCTGGCCACAATAAAAGGCCACTCTTCATATAAATATAATATTTTATTATTCCCCCTTTCAATTCGTGTATGACTTGCACAGAAAGCTGGAGTCTGGGTTCTTATGAAGATGTGGTGTGAACAAGAAATGGTCTGAGATCACTTCAGTGCTGAAGAGGGCCAAGAAAAGAACCGCGTTCTCTTCTGAGTCCACTATTTTGTGAACACCAAAGGTAACTTTTGGCTGGTTTCCTGTCTGGTTCACTTTAAGTGAACTGGGTTTGGTTCCTTTAAAACGCACTATATTTTAAAACACACGAAAGCAGGGGTGGGAAAGTATGAGATTTCCAAGATGATCAAATATCTCATTTAATAAACAACTGATATTTGATCGAGAGATAAATTGAAACTAAAATATATTCACTGATGTTATGACTAATATGTTAAATAATGTAAATATATATATATATATATATATAACAGCACCACCTCCACTGATCTATAATAGAGAACTGCTCATGACTGCTTGGTATTCCCCGCTATTCCCATACATTCCATTGAATTAATAGGAAGTCGTATGAATTTAATGAGAAAACATCACCTAACAGTCAGCGTTTTTAAATCTGAAGTTTCCCTGTACATTCTTACAATGCAAACACCCTAGGCATGTAAACGGTTATTTGTTTAATGTCGGGAATTTCCCCTGCTTATTAAAAAGTTGTGTTCATATACATTGCAGTAGCAATACCTTCATTCGCCTTGTACAGTTATTCATTGTTTATGCAATTTTGTTATAGTGTTTTATTCGTACAATAGGCTAACTGCAAATGTTTCAACAATGATTTCGTTAACAGCATTCATTTTGAAGCAGGTAATGATGTAAACGGTGGTTAAAATAGTTATTCATTTAACATATATACATAACATTTTACATGGTAATGCAAGTAAAACGCCATATTTGCGTGATCAGAGACTCTGAAACCGATGTTGCTCAATCAGCACATTAAAAATATACACATCATAACTTATTCAGAGGAATAACTGACTGCATACACTATGGGCTTAAAGACATGAAGGTTTATTTCCAAGACGATGCATGGTAAGCTTTTCACTTCAGTACAACATAGAGCAATATAGTAACAGAGGCTTGTATCGTATTATTCGTTGTATATTCAAATCCCTTTCTGATACTAATACGTTCATGTTTAATAATTCCTGAATAATTATGTACATAGGTAAATGATCCAGCACAAAATATAGCCAATTTCTTTGTGTCGTCAGTGCGCAGCAGACACACCCACCCTAACGATTTAAATATATCGCTTATCCTGCCCAAAAAGACCATAAACATTGCAGACAACATCTGAAGTAACAATGAATTTACATACACATAATACACATATTTCTGCTTGAACACAGCTCAGTATATTCACATAGTTGAATACAGCGAGTGTTTTATAATGGATGCTCACGTGTTTTGGAGAAGTTTGTGAGGATCGGTGGTGTTTATGTTTATAGCTTGTTCTGACAGAGGAACTATTCACTGATGACGTCGAGCCGAGTTCAGAATGGTTTCATTTTTCATTTGTTTTTTGGCGTGTTTAGCGATTCTGAATGGAGCCGTATAGTAGTTTATATGCAGTCCTTTGGCATCTCCTTGTGGTATTGTTTGTAGAGCCCTGCACAGGCCTCAAATATAGGCCCTTGTCCGACAGCTCATCAGAATTCTTGGCCCGAGTCCGACCCGAGCCAGTCTTTTTTTTTTTTCCCCTTCTCCCAAAACAGCCTATACTACTGTTTCTGCTATTAAAATAGTTAAATTTTGTATGTAATGTCAAAGTGATTATATTTCCTTTCGTGTTTTTATTAAGTTAATTTAGAAAAAAGTTTGGAGCATTTTTTTGTTCGTTAAATGTACGTTTTTGTTTTTTAAAGTACACTCTAAAAAATGCTGGGTTATTTCAACCCAACGTTGGGTCAAATTTGAACTAACCCAACTTTTGGGTTAAAAATTTAATGTAAAAATTTAATCCAACGGTTGGGTTAGTCCATATTTGGCCCAAAGTTGGGTTGAAACAACCCCGCATTTTTTAGAGTGTAACGACCAAGCGGCCAGCGGCAGACAGCGAGTTGATCATAGCCTATGTTTGATCAATTTAGCCTTCTCAAATCATCACGACTTGTCTAAAATAAAATCTATAGATATAAAACAGTTCAAGCATATCACAATGTTAGTTTAAATGTTTAACCTAGATAAATGTGCGCTATTAGATGCATATCTAATCGTTTGTGCGGAGAGCTAAAGCACGCTTTACAGGACACGGAGGCGCCGGCGCGATCACTTGCAGTGGAAACAACTTAAAATATGCCGTAATTTTTACTCATAAAGGTAAGAGTAATACATCACTCAGAACTGTAAAGGGTCTACTTTTATTTGTGTGCACTCACAATATCAACAAAGCGTTGTGCTTTTATAAAATAAAGGATACATACAGGATGCGCTTTCTGCAATTTCGGCCAGGAGCGCTTCACAATGATGAACCGAAACTCAGCAAATACTTGCCTCACAGACTTGCTAAATATATCTATAGAAAGCTTTAAATGACTACTTTAAAACTAAATGATTCAAATCAAAAGCAAAAATTATTTTTACGGATTTTATAAAATCTGTAAAGATGCATTTCTCTATAAAGGTGCGTCCAATGAGGAGATGGCGAGTCAGGATCGTCATCTTCATTTTTGCGACACGGACTCATAAAACACTAATCTATTAATAAATAATTAAAATATCTCCTTACTATTTCCTTACTTACCGAGTCCGACCTGAGCCCGATCTGTGAAAAAAAATAAATGTCCCGAGCCTGGCCCGAATGGACTCGACGTGTTGGGACCCGACGGGCTTGCAGACCTCTAATTGTTTGGTATGGCAGGTTGACTTAAAGTTAAAATTACTGTGTAATTACTGTGTTGTATAGAATATCTGCAGTGACATTTTTGCAAAGTATGTTTGCAAAAAAAGAAGATGGAATGTTTAAATCTATCTGGAATTTGTTTAATTTGTTAAAGGTTTTAGTGAATAGAAAAGGTTGGGCTTGCAGTATTGATTTGGAGAGGAGGGGGTCTTGGAGTAAAACAGGTTGAGAACTACTGCTTTAGGTAAATGCAGGCACAGTTCTACGGGGGTACTAATAATTGAACATTATATTGCATTAATTTAATTTAAAATAAAAATTATACATCCCAACAAGCTTTTTATTTATTTATTTTATGTGTATTTTATTATTTATTTATTTTTCACTTGGTAGATCTCGGTGAGTTTCTCATTTGAAAAGTAAATCCCCACACAAAAAAGTGTGGCACCCCTGCTCTAAAGCAACTGGGTTGGATGAATTTTCAGCAACACAACACACTATCGCATTTCTATTATTCAAATCCGTATAAACGATATTCAGGCTGCATGTGAGGGAAATATGTTTTTATATACTGATGATGCTGCTCTTTTAGTTGCAGACAAGGAGACTGAACAAATTCGGGAGAAATTAGGTGAGGAGCTTATTAGAGTGAAGGAATGGCTGACTGAAAATAAGCTTTTATTATATTTAGTAGGGCTGCACGGTTCATCGAATGCGATTGTCATGCACATCTCGTCAGTAAAGCCGGTTCTGTGATTAGTAGTAAATCTCCATCACATGCTTTCAGATGGAGCGGTATTTAATACACAGAGCCGTAGATCACTGACAAGCTCGCCTTCGATTATGAACGTGATATTGCGTAGCTTGTAAATCAGAATCCATTCTTTTTGGGTCAAATTATAAATTGTGTAAGGCAAAGGATTTAGCGGTCTAAGTTGATGGTTATGTCAGAGCAAATAGAACATTGGTTAATTAGAACATCGGTCAATTATATTGGCTGTGTTTTGGATAGTAATTTAAGTGGAGTAAATATAGCTTGGAAATTGTTGCGGAAATGTAATGCTAGAATCAAATGCATTGCAAGACATACTAGTTTTTTAGATTCCTTCATTTCACAGAGTTGCCGATTTTCTGGAGCCATTTAAAAAAAACATCTCCAGTTGTCACTTTATAGTAGTGAATTAATAACAGGTTTCTATGATCCCACACAGTTTACAGTTGCAAGTACTTTTCATGTGTGAATCAAGGGTTACGTCTGAAACTCTTTTCACACTAATCGCTTCTCTCTAGTGTGAATTCTCATGTGTGACTTAAGATTTCCATTTTGTAAAAAGCTATCCCCACACAGTTTGCAGGTGAAAGCCTTCTCTGTTGTATGAAGTCTCACATGAGTATAGAGGCTTACTTTACAGCTGAAACTCTCTCCACACTGATGACACACAAAACTGCTCTCTCTTGAATGTTCACTCTTCTCTCCAGTGTGAACTCTCATGCGGGACTTGAGGCTTTCTTCATATTTGTAACTCCTTCCACACTGATCACATGTGCATGGCTTCCCTGAATGAATGGTTATGTGTTGATTAAAGGTTCCTTTTGTATCGAAACTCTTTCCGCAGTGTTGGCATGCAAACGGCTTCTCTCCGGTGTGAACTCTCATGTGTTGTTTAAGGTTTGCTTTTTTAGCGAAACGCTTTCCACACTGATCACAAGTGAACGGCTTCTCTCCAGTGTGAACTCTCATGTGGGAACTAAGAGTTTCTTTATATCTGAAACTCTTTCCACAGTGATCACATGTGAACGGTTTCCCTCCAGTGTGAATGGTTATATGTTTATTAAGATTTCCTTTTTTAGTGAAACACTTTCCACACTGATCACATGTGAACGGCTTCTCTCCAGTGTGAATGATTACATGTTCATTAAGGCTTCCTTTTAGTGTGAAACTCTTTCCACAGTGTTGGCATGTGAACGGCTTCTCTCTAGTGTGAATTTTCATGTGTTCATTAAGGCTTACTTTTAATGTGAAACACTTTCCACATTCATGGCAAGTTAAGTAACTGGGAGGTTTGGTCTTCTGAACTGAATTTGTTTCAGTCGGTATGGATTTTTCTACAACAAAGAAATCATGTCTCTCATTTTGATCTTTCTCTTCTGTTTCTTTCAGTTCTTGACTCTCTTCTTTTATTGCCATCAGGTCTAAAGTGAAAAAATGACAAATAGTTAATGGGAGTTTAATGGCTCAAAGCAACAGAGCAAAACCAAGATAAAAGTATTAAAACATCAAAACTAACATTATGCAACAAAACTGGGTTATTATAGACCAATCCTGAATATGCCATTCAGGCTTAAAAAATGAGAAAAATATAGTTAATGAATTATTGAAGTGTAGGGGATGTACAGTTAAGACCCAAGGACCTCATATGTTGAACTAAGACCAGGAGTCAGAGATGCAATTAACTAAAGATAAATTTAATTAAGAAATATAGTAAAATAGTTTGCAGTTTCATCAGCAGAAGTCACTTGCGAGGAGTCCATTCACATTTCCACAACAATTATATTCTAACAGAGGCTACTAACTACGTCATTACTTCAGGTTGAATGATTCTGACTGGTTAAGGAAAGAATTGACAAAATTTGTAAATTTACACACATGGACTGATAGACAGAAGCATATCTCCATCCATGGGCTATCGTTAGTCATGGAATCCCCGATGTCAGCCTAGGCCCGGTTGTACGGGGGTACTAGATGGTGCTAAATACCCTAAATAGAAAAACCAACATGACAAAGAATCATGATATGATATTTTTGCCATATCGCCCACCCCTAATTACATGCATAACCTGATAAGTTGCTTTTCGAATGGGAACTGCATCCCCTACAACAGCGGTTCTCAATTCCAGTCCTCACGCACCTTCTTACAAAGGCTTCACCATAGACAGAGCTAATGGCTTGGTGTTCCTGGGAATACCTTTAAGGGAATAATGTCACTGACTGGAGATCTGAGAACAGAAGCTTCAGCAGGATGACTCTCTTAAGCCAGTGGAGGCCTAAGTTCTATGGTCAGGGCATTTGCCAATGAGGCTCACAGAAAGCCTAGTGACCTAGAGTTGTTATTCAGGCAGAAGTCTGCAGAGCGAACAACTCACAAGGATGACCCTCTATAGTGAGAGGAAACCTAGTGACTTTCTATTCTAGAGGAAGCACCTCAGGAAGATCACAACCTGGCACTACTAACAGAACGAGCTCTAAAGGCTGAAGCCTCAGCATGACGAGGCTATCCGGGAGGCTTACGGAGAGCCTAATGACGAGACAGGGTTTCTGCAGGATTTTTAAGCTCAAATTTAGGACCTTTTTAAGACCGACTGAAAGTTTAAAGCAGTTGTAAAAGCCTGAAGTTTGAACATTTAGATTAGATAGATGTTGATAACATGTTACTAGCATGACTGGCCTGTGACTAGCATATTGCTGGCATAATTAGCATGTTACTAGCATGTTTAGCAAGTGACTAGCATGTTTTTTGCATGATTAGCATGTCGCTAGCATGTTTCTTGCATGATAAGCATGTTACTAGCATGATTGGCCTGTGACTAGCATATTGCTGGCATAATTAGCATGTTACTAGCATGTTTAGCAAGTGACTAGCACGTTACTAGCATGTTGCTAGCATGATTAGCAAGTAACGAGCATGATTAGCAAGTTACTATATTTACTGAACTGAATCGCAGCCTTTACGAATTCACAATGGCATTATGCTTTATGCTTGTTTATTTTTGGTATACTGTGCGGCTTTTGAAAGCTGTCTAATAACGCTGTTCAGGGATTCTGTGAAATGCACCACTTGCGGTATTTCGTCAGTTAATCAACACGGGCAAATTGCAAACAATCATTTTTAAAAACTGAGCACTCAAATGTAATCAAGGAATCGTGACAGCCCTATAGCTCAATTTGATTGCTAGCATCTTTTTAGCGTCAGTACATCAATGTGAAACGGTAACCCATTGCTTTTGGCTTCAATAGATTCTAACGTCATCTTAAACTATTTTCCCAAATAGGTTAGCCATTGATTCTGAAACAATTCTTTTAAAAGTGTATTGAAAATACAATTAGTAGGTTGTTTTTTGAAAACCATGAAACGGTAATGTTCCATAAGAAACTATATAATACACTATGCGTGCAAAAAGAAATGCACAGTATCTTTAAAGAACATTCTGTTTTTTACACTTACAAGTTTACACTTTCACAGAGTTTACACGGCCTGAATAATTAGATCATGTAAAGGATCAAGTCTTCATTAATTTGTATTCTTCAGATTTTCTGTAATATGCAGAATATCCTATGCACATTTGAGAAGAATATAACATTTATAATAGCAGAACAACCTATATACTCTTCATTCCTTACATATCAGATAAGATTAGTCAAATTATCATAAACGACATCTATTCTTTTTAAAATCTTACATGAAATGAAAGAAACTAACCATTTTCATTGTTTTCGATTCAGAAACTGATTCTGAGTTTTTAATGTTCCTAAAATAATTGCTTTGTTTAGGCTACTTCTGTAGTATTTTTCCTACTTGAATGCTTGTTGTAATAAAAAAAGCCGAACTTGTTAAGAATAACCCAGGATCTGGTTGAAGGCAGCATCAGAATTAGTCTGGTCATGTGATCTCAACAGGTCTCCATCTCGCATCACATTCTTCAACAAATACCGTTCATTTCTGCAGAGCTGGACATTTAGCTTTGAGGATGAAACCAACCTGTTTGTTCCTCAATGTCTTCGTGCTTCAAGCTGAATACTTCTACAATCCTCAGGTCTTCACTCTCCTGTTTAATGAACGCCATCTCGCTTCTCCAGGAGGATTTCTGTGTCTGGAAATAAAGAAATACAAACTAAATCACATTAAAGTCAGTCAAAGTGAGAGTTAATGGCTGTAAACGGCATGAGAACACTCAACACTAGTGCTAAACATTAATAAAGTAACATGAATCATACAAAACATACTTGTGATTCAACTGAATCGTTTGGCGAATCGATCGGCTCAAGTGACTCTCTACTGATTTTAAAATCCAAAATCAATTTGCCAAATAATTTAAAATTAAAGTGTATTCGATTCACTAATTTTATGATTGCTCTCGGCGCACTGCACTGTGCCTAATTCATTAAACTTACTTAATAATTGAGCTTTAGGTACTTTTAATTCGTAAAGAATGCCTGCAGTGACATTTTCGCAAAGTCAATCTATCTTGAATTTGTTTTGTTTAAAAAGAATTAAATGGAACTGAAAAGTAATAACAGGAGAATACAAGGGTTTTTGTGAATAGGAAAGGTTGCGGGTGCAGTATTGATTCGGAGTAAATTATAACTTATTATAAAACCAGTCGGCTTAAGGTAGCTAAGAATTCTATGCAGTTACATGTCAAAATAACTCCAATAGCATACATTAGAGTTGCTGCGCTGTCACAACAAGTTTATCAGTTGCACGTGTTTTTAAGCCTTGTTAATTTGAAAGTTCCAACCATTTGAAAGCTTTCGAGCAAGATGCGAAAGACAAACAGTGCTCGCACGATATGTAGGGCTGGGTATCGAGTTCGATACTTTTTAGGCACCGACCGAATTGCCTCTATACCATCGAGTATCAAAATTTCGATACCTAAGGGGTTAATCTCATCAGCGTCAGTGAGCCAATAAGCCTGCAGCACTAGCCGGTGTGTTCGACTAGAGGCGCGGCGCAGATCGATCATCCGCGAGAGCGATTCGAAAGCGCACGGAGCAGTCTGCTCTCTTCAGCTCTCGTGGTACTGTAATACCACCAGTATAGAGTAGCGCGGGAGCTGCGTGGAGCTCCGATCATATGCAGATGTCCGTTCATACTAACGTTACACGACCGAAAGCGCGTGTTATGTGACCATTCATGCAAACTGTAGCATCATGCTACATAAGACAATAAATAAGATTTTATTAACTATTTTGCACTGATTTATTGTGTTGGTTACATTTTGTTCCTTTGTGCAGTGGCTCAGGAGATGAGTCTTTGAGTTTGTATAAACATCAACAAGCTGAAAAATAAAACCAAAGTTTTAAAAGTTTTTGTTAAAATTGATTTCATAAAATTGGTATCGAAAAAAGTATCGTTCAGGAACCGGTATCGAAGTCAAGGTATCAGTATCGAAACATTTTGAACGATACCCAGCCCTAGCGGTATGTTCTGTGTACACTGCGCACTCAGACAGCCGCGTCTTGACCATATGCACGGTGCGCTATTTATAACTTCCGGATAAAGATAAGCCAGCTCGTAACCTTCCGGTGAAGCTCATTTTATACGTGTGCTATACTCTCACAGAAACCTCTCCTGCCTCATTCTTATCAGAAACTGAGAAACAAAATAATTGCAACACCGTAAATGATGATAGCGGCATTAACATACTGTTTTATGTTATTAAAGAACATATAAATTCATATGCAGAGTCTGGTAACCCCAGAAAAGTAGGCTACCCAGACACGCAACTGTACATTTAAATGCTGACAAATAAGCAAATAAGATTTGAAATGCTGCGTTCAAATGCACGTAATAGGCTTAAGCTTGCAGCACCGGCAAACGTTTCGTTGAGTAGTAATTTAAAGCTTTCTATAGATATATTTATCGTGTCTGTGAGGCGTGTATTCGCTGAGTTTCGGTTCATTTTTGTGAAGCACTCCTGTTCAAGACCGAGACGGCAGTGTAAAAGCACGTTTTGTTGATATTGTGAGTGCACACAAAACAGACACTTTTCTTGTATTACTCTTTATGAGCAAAAATGACGCATAGGCTATTTAAAGTTGCTTCCACTGAAGAAAAATGCAAGTGATCTCGCTGGCGACTTCATGTCCTGCAAAGCGCGCTTTAGCTTCCACTCTCCGCACAAACTATTGGATATGCCTCTAACAGTGCACATTTATCTAGGTTTAACGTTTAAGCATTGTTATTTGAACTGTTTTATATCTATAGATTGTATTTTAGGCAAGTCGTGATGATTTGAGAAGGCTAACCTGCTATGGTTGGTATATGACCAGCTCACAGTCTGCCGCTGGCCGCTTGGTCGTTACTTTAAAAAACAAAAACTTATTTAATGAACAAAAAATGCTAAATTAACTTAATAAAAAACGAAAGGAAATATAGCCTAATCACGTTGCCCTTGGGCTCATTGGCTGCAGCTGCCATTTCAACTCGCTGGTTTTTTTTCATGTCGTGCTTTTTGATTTATAATAAAATAAATAGTACTTTATCGCACTGAATATAAAGTGCAAGAAGTCACAAAGTCACTTGTCATTAAAAAAAAAATAAAAATAAGGCCAGACAACAACCTGTAATGCCTACATAGTTAAATACAAATTAAATAAGTATAAGAATTAAATAGTGCATTCAATATTTTGAAATGTTTAAATTGAATAATTTAAGTACATCGTTTAAGTTTTATCCAACACAGACTTGTTGCTGCTGTAGTTCTGAAGCGCTTAATGCGCAGCTGTATTTTGACGTCGGCTCTCCGATGATTCATTCCGTTGCCCTGTCAATCACAGCAATGCCGCACGGCATGATTTAACGCATTCACTCGCGTAAATTTAACATTCAAAAATTGACAATCATGTTTGTCATTCCTGAAACGGTATATGTGGACATTTGGTTCTCTTAGACAAACCAAACTTTTCTCCAAATTGTGCGCTCCTTGCGGCACAGTACAGCTAACCGGAAATAACTGAGCTGGCTGATCTAAACCCAGGAAGTAATCGTGCATTGAGTCTCTTTCTGCGTCTTTCTTTCTCTTTTGTAGGAAACTCTGGTATCAGAATAATCTCGGTAGTAAATACGACTCGAGAGAGGCGCTCGCGTCTAATTTCAGATTAGGAAACATTAATATTTACCATAACTCTGATATTACGTGAAGGCTATGAAAAATCAAGGTGCAACACTGAGTGAAGAATATAAATGTTATTTTACATATGATTATTTAATTTCTGTACCTGATAAATACATAATTGAATTGGTATCTAAGATTTTGGGGTCATGCGCGGTCCACAGTGTCTTTTAATACAAGATAACCGTTCAAACACGATGTTAACAGCAAATATTTGATTATTTTGTGTCAGGGCAAGCAATAACTTAATAATTAGCGCTAAGCGCTGTTTATCTCAACCACCAAACCAGCATAAATGTTCGTTTTTGCGCCTAAAAAGCAGCACAAACGAATGGCCCAGGGTTTTGTAGATAGTCTGGTTTTATGGGATGTCTAAAAGTGAAGTGTTCTCGAGACGCACCTCACTAAATTCTACTCCGCTGTTTTCAACATAATAATAGAGCGGAGCAGAGTTTATCTTCATGTGGCGCTGTACAGTATCTTGAGCCGGAGGCGCCAGAACTCTAACTAAAAGAATGTGCGCTACCATATTTCTTCAAAAGCAGATCGTGGAGACATTTTAATCGTCCACGATCAAAAATCGTCATATCGCACACCCCTACACTCGCATAAATGCAACCACATCATATTTCAACTCGCACATTCTCAGAAAATGGTCGTATATGCGGCCATTTTGGTCTCAGTCTAGAGCTGTGATTATGGTATGAAGAGTGAAAGTTTGATGACTTCAATCGAGACAGAGATTGTGAAAGTGAAACTGAGGCAGGATGCTCTCCTTTCGATCTTTACGAATGGTTTAATTCTTGGAGGACATCAGTCATCCTGATTGTACTTGTAGTTGTGCTCAGTGTGATTGCTGGAATACTGATAGCTGTGTTTGTCCATAAAAACGGAGGTAAAATGCTTGTTTTCTTATTATTTTATATATTTATGTAAATAAAGCAGTGGCAATATACAGGCTAAACAAGAGCGGTGCAAGAATTGAGCCTTGTGGGACTCCGCCTGTCACGGACGTCCACTTAGACTAGCTGCATGATGTTACAAAAATGCAAAACAGAACTTTATCTACACATTTTTGTTTTGATAAACCACCTCATCTGTGAAACATGATGTTGAGGATACAACATTTTTTTAATTTTTCTTTATTAAATAATTTGGTAACACTTCAGAGACCAATTCTCACTATTAACTAGTTGTTTATTAGCATGCATATTACTAGCATATTGGCTGTTTATTAGTATTATAAGGCAGATATTAATGCCTTATTCTGCATGACCACATTTTAAATCCCGTAATCCAACCCATATAAACTTAACAACTACCTTACTAAGTATTAATAAGCAGCAAATTAGTTTATTGAGACAAAAGTTGTAGTTAATAGTTAATAGTGAGAATTGGTCCCCAAACTAATACTGAATTAAATTATTGGTCACACTTGAATGTCAAGTCTGTTTTCATCCACAAAATATTTAATTAACAGACATTGTGTATTCATATACTTTTGTGTATATCCTGTAATTTGTAGTTATTGTTCCTGAAACAAAAATTATATTTGTTGTCTGAATTCTGTTTTCTCTCGTCTTTATTCTGAATTTTCTTCAGCACACGATCGACTAGAGGATGAACACAATCATCTACAGGATGAGAAGAGGAGAATACAACATGGTGAAGCTGTCTTTATTATGTTATTTATTCATTATTCATTTAAAGTCTGTTTTCAGCAGTAAAATACAGTTTTAACTGTGTGCATTCATTTATTTTGTGTATATCTTGGGTCTGGTAAATGGTCACCAGTTGTTTATATAATGTAGTGTGAAGACAGTTGAATGAAGACAGTTATCAACATAACTGATATTCACAATAGTAAGCAAGCCCTGCTTTGCTTACGTTTCATATATCTGCGTATATCTTTGTTTCGGTTTCTCCTTTTGAATGACGAATATATAATATTGTTAGCTGCTGATATAGACTGCTCAACATGTCCTCAAACCAATACGCCTGCATAGGTCGTTTGTCCAAATCCCTGAAATACGACCCATCAGAGCGTATACTACAATTGCGCCCCTATCGGCAACAGGACACTTTCATATCAATGCTTTGTACTCTTTTATCTGCGCCATAATTCGGGTTTCGTATAGCTCAGTTGGTAGAGCATCGCTTTATACGACGATATGCAACCATGTGATCATGGGTTCAATCCAAGAGAACGCACATGCTCGTAAAATGTATATGCACTGTAAATCACGATTTTGCATTATTTCTGTAGGTTTACTAGGTGTGGTCATTCATACAAATTCGTATGAATTAGCCACCTAGTAAAATATGTACGAATTGCCGTGAGATCAGGTTGGACCATGTAAAAAGTCCACACATTGCATTTAAATAAACATGCATTATGATTGGTAATGACAGTCATACGTCATTTCATGACAACAGACGCAACATGACACTGTCATTATTTTTATGCCCGCTAGAGGGCACTTAACTTTTAATTAGATTAGGTTAATTAGAACATCGGTCAGTTATCTTCGCTGTGTTTTGGATAAATGTAACGCTAGAATCAAATACATTGCAAGATATACTATTTTTTTTAGATAGCGGAAGTTTAAGTGTGCTTGCTATAGGACTTGTTCAATGCCATTTTGAGTATGCATGTAGCTCTTGGATGATTGATTTTAGAGATGCACCGATCAATCGGCCAGGGATCGGAATCGGCCGATTTCCCTCATGATCGGCCCGGATCGGTGATCGGCCAATCAGTCTCACTTCTTTCCGATTCCAAGCCGATCTGTTTTGTTACCAGCGGCACAGGCAATAACGTCAACCGCGCCTTCTTGCTCTCTTCTCTCCAATGACCCCTTCCTTCTCTCTCACACACGTCTCATTCACTCCGGTTAAATAGTGCTTGTATTGCGCATTATTTTAGTGATTCCCGCAAGTTTCACGCTTAGACCAAAAGCGCGCACCAGAACTGAGCAATATTAGTGGAGCGCACACAAGCTGCCACAAATACCAAAATGAGCGTCTAACTGCACTAAAATGGTCAAATACATACAAAATTATGTCAAAATGCCCGTCTTGGCGAGTATCCAGTTAAACAAAGTCAGTTTTGGAACGTTAAATAGAATCGGAATCGGCCAAGAAAATTGCAATTGGTGCATCTCTAATTGATTTACCCAGTATGTGGATGGCAAAATTACAAAAGTCACAAAACTAGTTTGTGAGATTAGTTTTAGTTTTACAATGCTTTTAGTCGTGTGGAAAATAGACATTTCCAGCAGCGGATGGTTAACTATTGTAGTGGTCCCGTTGCGGACTGATAGCTATATTCTCGCTAACAATCTCAAATGAGTTCACATGCACAAGACATAAAATAAAATGCCAAATATATATTTATATTTATTTATGAGATGAAGAATGCAAATGGTTATGAAGGTAGACAATCAGATTTGAGACATTCAACTTCAGTGTGAACGTCACCTTCATTTCACAGAGATGCATATTTTCTGGTGCCATTTAAAAAAAATGGCTTAATAGTGGTGAATTAATAACACTTTAATAACAGGTTTCTATGATCCCACACAGTTTACAGTTGCAAGTACTTTTCATGTGTGAATCAAGGGTTACGTCTGAAACTCTTTACACACTAAATGCTTCTCTCTGGTGTGAATTCTCATGTGTGACTTAAGATTTCCATTTTGTGAGAAGCTATCCCCACACAGTTTGCAGGTGAAAGCCTTCTCTGTAGTATGAAGTCTCACATGAGTATAGAGGCTTACTTTACAGCTGAAACTCTCTCCACACTGATGACACACAAAACCGTTCTCTCTTGAATGTTCACTCTTCGTGTGGGAATTAAGGGTTTCAATGTATTTGTAGCCATGTCCAGACAGATCACGTGCGAACGACTTCTCTCCAGTGTGAACTCTCATGTGGGATTTGAGGCTTTCTTCATATTTGTAACTCCTTCCACACTGATCACATGGGAATGGCTTCTCTGAATGAATGGTTATGTGTTGATTAAGGGTTCCTTTTGTAACAAAGCTCTTTCCGCAGTGTTGGCATGTGAACGGCTTTTCTCCGGTGTGAATTCTCATGTGTTGTTTAAGGTTTGCTTTTAGTGTGAAACTCTTTCCACAGTGTTGGCATGTGAACGGCTTCTCTCCGGTGTGAATTTTCATGTGTTGTTTAAGGTTTGCTTTTAGTGTGAAACTCTTTCCACAGTGTTGGCATGTGAACGGCTTCTCTCCGGTGTGAATTTTCATGTGTTGTTTAAGGTTTGCTTTTAGTGTGAAACACTTTCCACAGTGTTGGCATGTGAACAGCTGCTCTCCAGTGTGAACTCTCATGTGGGAGATCGCCTGAGCGGTGGTCTTGGTGGCGCGCAGAGCCAGGTCAGTTGCACTCCTCAGCTCCCTGAGAGTCGTGGGGTCCAGGCCAGACTCTGAAAGACCTGGAGGAACGCCATTGAATGGAGCGACGAAGCCGCCTGTCCAGCAGAAGTGTAGGCGCGCCCAGCGAGTGCTGAAGTGGCCCTACGTGGTTTGGACGGATGGGCGGACTTTGCCTTCCAGCCGATAGCCGTGGGCGGGCAGGTGTGCGCGAGGGGCGGAGTCGCTTTCTGAAAAGAAAGCGATCCGCGAGCGTAGAGAGGCGAGACTGAAGTTCTCGCAGTGAGAACAATCAGTTCCCGTGAGCGCAGCTTACGCGTGGGATTTCCCCAAGCAGGAAACGCACTCAGCGTGGCCATCATCGGCTCCCCTGCACGAACTGCAGTAATGGCGTGGCACTTGCAACAACACCAAGCTCTTTTAGAATCGCTGGATGGCGGCGGAAATGGACCGGAACTGCTGCGTTGCTGAGGTGGCGGCGAAGCAGATCAGCCGAGCAGAGAGGTCTCAGTCCAGCTGCGAGGCATGTCAACAGCGAGCAGGCTTTGGGATCAGCGTAGAGGAGGAGAAGAAATCTGAGAATCCTGTGGCAAACGTCTGGCGGGCTTTGTCACCATTGGTTCGTTTTTAATACACTGCATGAACCAATGGCCGTGCAGTTTCACTGTGTGATTGAAAAAGGCTCCAGGTTCAAAAAGGCTTTTTCCCATAGCGTCTTTAACAAGACGCAGTATGAGTGAAGTATCGACAGGGAACTGAGTTATTATAGACCAATCCTGAGTCTGCCATTCAGGTCTAAAAAAGGAGAAAAATAGAGTCGCCTTCACTTTGCAATGGTACTCGTGAACAGTTTCAATCAGGATTTAAACATCATCATTATTGAAGTGTAGGGGATGTACAGTTAAGACCCAAGGACCTCATATGTTGAACTAAGACCAGGAGTCAGAGATGCAATTAACCGAAGAAAAATAGTAAATAGTTTGCGGTTTCATCAGCAGAAGTCACTCGCAAGGAGTTCATAGGCCACTTTTGCTATTTCCTATTTTAGGCTGTTTTACCGAACATATACGCTTACTACATTTATGGACCTGGGAACATTACAGCTGTGTTGCTGTCTATGAGAGGGTCTGAGAGCTGTCAGATTTAAAGGTACAATATGTTTTCATATTTTCATATAGTTTTCACCGCTGGAGAGCGCGTATTCAAAATAAACAAAGAAGCAAAGGCGTAGTTTGATGACGCCGTGACTGAGTGTGGAATCATGGGAGTTGTGGTCGCAATCCGACGGGACTCGGGCAGAAATCACGTTCATGGATGAGCTAATGTATTAAAGATTTATTAACATCGTAGTATGAAGCAGAGTGAGGCGGAAAGCCATCGAAGTGAAACGAGGCTGCTGAAGCAATTGCTAATGAGAGACGAGCACGACACACGGCTGGAAAGCAGCGGGGCTTTTATTATGCCACAGTCGTGGTTTTTGGATATTTTAATAAAAATTTTTTACATATTGTGCTTTTAATCAAATATCTTAATTTGTGTTCTGATGATGAACAAAGGTCTCACGGGTTTGGAACGACATGAGGGCGAGTAATTAATGACAGAATTTTCATTTAAAGGTACAGTGCTAAACATGCTGCCGACTGTCATTAAAGGGATAGTTCACCCTCAAATTTAATTTAGTTTATTATTTACTCACTCGCATGTTGTCCCAAACCTGTATTAATTTCTGTCTTGTGCTGAACACAAAAGAAGATATTTTGAAGAATGTGGGTACAAACAGCTGCTGGTCCCCATTGACTTTGATAGTAGGAAAAAAAAATACTATGAAACAATTCTACTCCGCTGTTTTCAACATAATAATAGAGCGGAGCCGAGTTTAAACAAGTGTTCAAACTTGAAAACACTCGAGAACACTTGTTTTTTAATACCCATGATCAAAAATCGTCATATCGCACACCCCTACACATCACATTTTAACTCGCACATTCTCAAAGAAAATTGGTCTCAGTCTAGAGCCCTGATTAAGGTCTGAAGAGTAAAAGTAAAGGTATGCATTCTGCAGAAAAACACTTTTTATATATGATGGTCTTGCATTAATATTACTGCTGCACTGTGTATGTTGCATTTTTGGGGCGGTTTAATGTACAGCAGTGCATCACATTGTAAAATGATTTCAGCAGTTAGATTATGTGCAGTAGGGCGGTGTCGAGACGGAGATTGTGAAAGTGAAACGGAGGCAGGATGCTCTCCTTTCAATCTGTACGAACTCTCGTATCAACCGTTTGTTAATATCATATAATCCTATCAGTAATTTATTCAGAAACTCCTGTGCTCAGTTGACGTTAAAACCAAGCGAAAAGCACGTTTGTGTGTCTAGCATGAGTGTGACTTGAGATCAGATGAGTTTAACCGGTTAGGTAGGTCTTTAAGTGACACTAAACCATATAAATACATTTAAAAAAAAAAGGATAAAGTCAAATAATGCTACCCGTTGCTTTCTCTGGACTAACTTAAACAGTTGATTGTAGATGTAAAATGAGGTATTTGTCTCTTGAGTATAAATGTGTAAGTATTCAGAGCCAGCACATGCATGTGAACACACGAGTTGCCTGCTTATTATAATGTTTTGTTTTCTTCATTTCAGCATTCTTTAGAGATAAATAAATTTTTTGGACTCTGCTGATTATTAGTGGAATTGCAGATTCGATATCAGGTAATTATTCACACCCACGTAATGAGCTAAAGTGTATGTTCATGTCTAGTCCATGTCCAGCTGAACTATATTTATTAGAAAGCAATAATCCCCATGAAGCCGTGGTTTACAGTGGATTTATAACCGCTAAGGGGCGAAGCGGAGTCTAAAACCCTCTTAGCTGTTATAAATTCACTGTAAACCACGGCTTCACGGGGCTTATTGCTTTTATAAAACGGTTATTCCATATATGTAGTAAGGTTTCACAAAATAAAACGGAGCAAATAAAGTGTAATGATATTAATAAAAACAGTATTCTTCCACCAAACAATGTAGCTCCTCAGAAACAGTTGTGGTTGCAACAAAGTGGTTGCCGAGCAACACACAAACGTAAACAAAGGTGTATGTTACTTTGTAGAGTCATTTACAACAGCTTCGAACGTGGCTCAGCCAATCAGAATCAAGCACCGGAACTATCCGCTTTATAATTATAGTTTAGTTTATAGTTTATGTGATAATGACCAGCTCACTGTACATTATGACATTTATTACATGGCTACTTAGCAAATAAATGAAGTGAAATTTTGATCTCAGCTGGAATCATTGAAGAAACCACAGAACAGAAACTGGAGGTTTCCTGGATGAACGTTTCCATGGACAGCTGTCATTATTCAGAAATATTGACTAATTAGAATAAAATGTACAAAGAGTAGCCCTTGGAGGCTCAACTGATAGGAGCTTCACTTTTACTAAACCAGCTCTCAAATCTTTCACAGAGCAGTATGAAGTAGTGGGACCTGCAGAGCCTGTATTTGCTGTCGCTGGTGAAGATGCAATTCTGCCCTGTTCAGTCAAACCCAGCATCAGTGTTGTGGACATGAGAGTGGAGTGGTTTAGACTCGACCTGAAAGACTCACAACCAGTGCATCTCTACGAGGATCACGAAGACAGAAACACAGATCAGATTCAGTCCTACAGAGGAAGAACAAAACTGATTCATCAAGAACTGCAGAGAGGAGACGCATCACTCAAACTCTCATCAGTCCGAGTCTCTGATGAAGGACTTTATAAGTGTTTTATTCAGTCCAGATCCTGGTATGATGACGCCACTGTTAATGTCAGAGTTGAAGGTGAGGAAACTATTGAAGACTAAATTACACTGCACACTAGGCATCATACATTTACTGACTGGGCATCATACACTAAACGACTGAGGATTAGGGTTGCAAAAAAGGTGGAGAATTTCCAGTAAATTTCGGAAACATTCCGGAAAATGTGAAAACTTTCCAGGATTTTTTTGGAATCTTCCAGGGATTTTTGGAAATTTTCCACCCCTTTGCAACCCTACGGAGGATCACAACAAACTCATGCAGAAACGTGTGCCTTGTTGCTAGGAGACGCGTGACAAATGAAAACATTCTAAATCTAAACATTCTAAATTAGCGTTCTAAAACCGGCTGAAAATATCAAGCATGTTTGATCTCCTCCCACTGGATGGAATCAAAGTCTGAAGTCTGTGACCATCATACACTACATGATTTTCTATGAAATCTGTCATCAGCACACGATCGACTAGAGAAGGAGAAGATAAGACTACAACAGGGTGAATCTGTCTTTATTAAATCATTTCATTCTGTATTAATGTCAAGTCTGTTTTCATCCACAAAGCATTTCATTAGCAGGCATTGTGTATTCATATACTTTTGTGTATATCTTAGATCCTGTAATTTGTTGTTGCTGAATCAAAAATTATATTTTTCTATTTGTTGTCTGAATTCTGTTTTCTCTCGTCTTTATTCTGAATTTTCTTCAGCACACGATCGACTAGAGGATGAACACAATCATCTACAGGAGTTATTGTTCCTGAAACAAAAATTATATTTGTTGTCTGAATTCTGTTTTCTCTCGTCTTTATTCTGAATTTTCTTCAGCACACGATCGACTAGAGAAGGAGAAGATAAGACTACAACAGGGTGAATCTGTCTTTATTAAATCATTTCATTCTGTATTAATGTCAAGTCTGTTTTCATCCACAAAGCATTTCATTAGCAGGCATTGTGTATTCATATACTTTTGTGTATATCTTAGATCCTGTAATTTGTTGTTGCTGAATCAAAAATTATATTTTTCTATTTGTTGTCTGAATTCTGTTTTCTCTCGTCTTTATTCTGAATTTTCTTCAGCACACGATCGACTAGAGGATGAACACAATCATCTACAGGATGAGAAGAGGAGAATACAACATGGTGAAGCTGTCTTTATTATGTTATTTATTCATTATTCATTTAAAGTCTGTTTTCAGCAGTAAAATACAGTTTTAACTGTGTGCATTCATTTATTTTGTGTATATCTTGGGTCTGGTAAATGGTCACCAGTTGTTTATATAATGTAGTGTGAAGACAGTTGAATGAAGACAGTTATCAACATAACTGATATTCACAATAGTAAGCAAGCCCTGCTTTGTTTATGTTGGTAGAGCATCGCTTTATACGACGATATGCAATCATGTGATCATGGGTTCAATCCCAGAGAACGCACGTGCTCATAAAATGTATATGCACTGTAAATCACGATTTTGCATGATTTCTGTGAGGGTATTTTTAGGGGCGGGGTTAGGTGTGGTCATTCGTATGAATTTGTATGAATTAGCCACCTAGTAAAATATGCACAAATTGCCGTGAGATCGGGTTGAACCATGTAAAAAGTCCACAAATTGCATTTAAATAAACACGCATTTTGATTGGTAATGACAGTCATACGTCATTTCATGAAATTTACATTTTGATTTCAAGGAGACTTTAAGCCCTTATGTTTGCCATGTTACTTTGTCTAGTATTGTCCCATTGTTGGTGAGTTGTTTCCATGTTGATGTTATTAGTCAAAGTCAAATCAAGTCATTTTTGGTTGACTTTGGATTATACACTGCAAAAAATGCTTTTCTTAGTATTTTTGTCCTGTTTCCAGTCCAAATTTCTAAAAACAAGCAAAATGATCTCCCAATGGGCTAAGAAAAATTATTCAAACAGAAACAAGATTATTTTTCTTACCTCATTGGCAGATAATTTTGCTTTTGCTTTGCTCTTGTATTCGCTGGGAATGAAGTACCTACATAAAAGATAAGACAACTAAATATAAGCTTGTAGGAATAACAAACTAGCCTCTCATTAATTTATTTATTTAATAAACTAACCGAACAGGTAGCAGGTGCAACAGGCTATAGAGCAGTGGATCACCTACCTTGGCTTTCACAATACACATGTCGTTGATGAGCTGATGCTGTGCCTCTCACTGTTGACAAAAAAACAGCATATGCTGGTTAGATATGTTTTGACGCTGGGATGCTGGTTTAAGCTGGTCCTTTGCTGGTTTATGCTGGTCATGTGCTGGCAAAGAATCAGTAGTATTATAAAGAAGATATTAATGCCTCATTCTGCATGACCATATTTTACATCCCGTAATCCACCCCATATAAACTTAACAACTACCTTACTAAGTATTAATAAGCAGCAAATTAATTTATTGAGACAAAAGTTGTAGTTAATAGTTAGTTAATAGTGAGAATTGGTCCCCAAACTAAAGTGTGACCAATAATTTAATTCAGTATTAATGTCAAGTCTGTTTTCATTCTCAAAATATTTAATTAACAGACATTGTGTATTCATATACTTTTGTGTATATCCTGTAATTTGTAGTTATTGTTCCTGAAACAAAAATTATATTTGTTGTCTGAATTCTGTTTTCTCTCGTCTTTATTCTGAATTTTCTTCAGCACACGATCGACTAGAGAAGGAGAAGATAAGACTACAACAGGGTGAATCTGTCTTTATTAAATCATTTCATTCTGTATTAATGTCAAGTCTGTTTTCATCCACAAAGCATTTCATTAGCAGGCATTGTGTATTCATATACTTTTGTGTATATCTTAGATCCTGTAATTTGTTGTTGCTGAATCAAAAATTATATTTTTCTATTTGTTGTCTGAATTCTGTTTTCTCTCGTCTTTATTCTGAATTTTCTTCAGCACACGATCGACTAGAGGATGAACACAATCATCTACAGGATGAGAAGAGGAGAATACAACATGGTGAAGCTGTCTTTATTATGTTATTTATTCGTTATTCATTTAAAGTCTGTTTTCAGCAGTAAAATACAGTTTTAACTGTGTGCATTCATTTATTTTGTGTATATCTTGGATCTGGTAAATGGTCACCAGTTGTTTATATAATGTAGTGTGAAGACAGTTGAATGAAGACAGTTATCAACATAACTGATATTCACAATAGTAAGCAAGCCCTGCTTTGTTTATGTTTCATATATCTGCGTATATATTTGTTTTGGTTTCTCCTTTTGAATGACGAATATATAATATTGTTAGCTGCTGATATAGACTGCTCAACATGTCCTCAAACCAATACGCCTGCATAGGTCGTTTGTCCAAATCCCTGAAATACGACCCATCAGAGCGTATACTACAATTGTGCCCCTATCGGCAACAGGACACTTTCATATTAATGCTTTGTACTCTTTTATCTGTGCCATAATTCGGGTTTCGTATAGCTCAGTTGGTAGAGCATCGCTTTATACGACGATATGCAATCATGTGATCATGGGTTCAATCCCAGAGAACGCACGTGCTCATAAAATGTATATGCACTGTAAATCACGATTTTGCATGATTTCTGTGAGGGTAGGTTTACTAGGTGTGGTCATTCATACAAATTCGTATGAATTAGCCACCTAGTAAAATATGTACAAATTGCAGTGAGATCGGGTTGGACCATGTAAAAAGTCCACACATTGCATTTAAATAAACATGCATTTTGATTGGTAATGACAGTCATACGTCATTTCATGACAACAGACGCAACATGACACTGTCATTATTTTTGCGCCCACTAGAGGGCACTTAACTTTAAAACGTAAATATTGGTCGTAATAAGTTGCTTGCACAAACCTATAGGGTCGTTTTTTGTTGGAGGACAGTCTAAAAGTGCAAATTTCTCTCACACATGCGCAGAACGCACGTGTTAGTTTGCAGTCGGCTGTAGTCTGAGCGGTGTTTTCAAGCGCAGCTTTTTGTCCAGACGCTGCCGATGCAAGGCAACAACACCGTCGGCTTTTGTCGCCACTAGTTCTTTGAAGTCGGCTTGGTGTGTCCCGGCATTAAGCGCAAACAGTATTGTTTAATGAAAAAAGAAAGAAAGAACACACTGGCAAAAAACACTGAACTGAACAACCAACTTAAAAATTCGAAGATAACGAACCAAAACCAAGGCTATAAATACACAAGGGCATAACATGGGACAGGTGTAAATAAATTGGCAGAGAAAGTCAATGGGGCTGTAGTCTTTTGGTGAGAAGGCTAGGTAAATCTGGGTGTCATCTGCATAGCTGTGAAAGGCAATTTGGTTCTTTCTCACTATTTGACTCAGTGCATATACAGGCTAAACAAGAGTGGTGCGAGAATTGAGCCTTGTGGGACTCCGCCTGTCATAGACGTCCGCTTAGACTAGCTGCATGATGTTACAAAAATGCAAAACAGAGCTTTAAAAAAAAAAAAAGAAAAAGAAAGAGAACACACTGGCAAAAAAACACTGAACTGAACAACCAACTTAAAAATTTGAAGATAACGAACCAAAACCAAGGCTATAAATACAAAAGGGCATAACATGGGACAGGTGTAACTAAATCAGTAACCAAGGCAACAAACATAGTAATTAACATAGGCGAGAAAACTAGAACAAATGAAACATACACAAAACAGAACCAAACACTGACACTTACCAGTACCTTGTACCATGATGGTGGCTGAACAAACTCAGGGTTACAGAATTAGTTGCGAGTTGACACAACCAAACCAGTCCAATCCAGCTTTGTTGGTACCATGACGCTGATCATCAACTTTCTCTGTCAGCTCAGAGATGGCTTTATGGAGCACATGCACATGAAAGTGTGACATCAGAAGTGAACAGCCAATCACATGCCTTGAAACTTTGATTCACTTCTCGCGAGAGAGTCAGTGTGATTTACTGCCAAAGATTGAAAAATACAAAGAATTTAAACACATTTAACCAGCAAGATGAAAAGAGCTGGCCATGAAAGAGGAAAAGTCAAAGAAAACATCTTGCCATATCAGTGCAAGTGAAAGAGTTGTGAAGTGTATATAGTTGATATTTATAGGTATACAGAGACTCGTAAATCTAAACTCATGTGTAGTCACGTTTAAAGCTTTATCTATTGATTCTAAAGCTTATTTACATTTCATATTATCTGCATGTATTTATATTCATTTAAAATAAAAGCTTAATTATTTAACTTGCGATCTCTAAACCAGAGCATATCTTGCCCTGGCGATGAACATCGCTAAAAGCCAAACCACTTTCATGGTGCCTAAACCCAGAGTTGGCACAGACTAAACTGAAACATACCTGGCTAGTCAGCTAAACCAGCTTTATGGTCAAGTTCATGACCCTATAAACACAACTGAATGACCGTGACTGGTTTGTCAGAGTAATAAAAATTATAGCATTTTAATCTTCTTTTCTCATCTTTTTTATCATTTTCTGTAGAACGCGATCAACTTTTACGAGGTCTGGAGACTATTATACCAAAAGGTAAATTTGTTTTATATGGCTTAATTAAAATATAAATTCATTACTTTAAAATTATTTAGCATAACAATGAATGAATATGCTGTGCATTCATATATGTATTCAATTCATTGTATTTTATTACAAGATATGTAAACTGTGTAAATCTTCTTGGATTTTGTTTGTCTTCAAGTGGTGGTTAAAAAATGACTTATTATTGATCTAAAGATGAATTCTGTTATGAACCCTTTATAACGTCACACTTTCTGTTCTCAGCTCTCACACATTTAAGAACACACTCGGGTGAGTAAAACGGCATAATTATATTAATATATACATTATTTATTATAATTATTTATTATTGTTTGTGATACAATGTATTGAATGTTACATTTATTTACCATTAATGGCGTATCTTTATTTTTGTTTATCTTGTAAAGTACTCATGATTCCTATAAAAAGTTGTAAAAAAAAAATTATGGTTATTTCATTATAAACTCATCTTTAAAGCATATTTTTCCATATTTCCAACAGTGAATGTGATTCTGGATGGCGATACGGCTCATCCACGTCTCATCGTGTCTGATGATGGCAAACAAGTGAGGGAAGGAAGGACACGACGGGAAGCAGTGGATGGGAAAACAGACAGATTTAATTAATATCGTGGTGTTCTGGGGAAGGATGGATTCAGCTCAGGGTGTTTTTACTTTGAGGTGCAGGTGAAGGGTCAAACTAAGTGGTATTTAGGAGTGGCCAGAGAATCTGTGATCAGGAAGGGCTGGATCCGTCTGAGCTCTGTGAATGGATGCTGGACTGTGAGTCTGTATAATGGAAAGTATCGGGCTCGTGAGTCGTCATATGTGCTTCTTTCTCTGAGTGTGGCTCCTCAGAGGGTCGGTGTGTTTGTGGATTATAGCGAGGGTCTCGTCTCTTTCTATGACGTGGAGTCCATGTCTCATATCTACTCTTTCACTAATCAGTCTTTTAATGAGAAACTCTATCCATTTGTTTGTTTGGGGTATTATTGGAATAAAAACTCTACACCATTGATCATCTGTGATGATTACTAATGAGATCAGTCAATGAATTTACATGATCATGTGACACAAACAACAGGAAATACAATAAAATGCACAAAATATTATTTACTACCAGTCAGAATTTTGACAATATGATCTTATTTAAACTTATTTAAAGAACTTATTTAAAGCAGCGTTTTCAGAAGTCTTCGTTTTGCTCATGTTGACACTGAAACGCAATTATGGAGTTTGCAAACTAAAACGGGGTCTGCAGCGTTTTCAGAAGTCTTCATATTGCTCTGTTTACACTGAAACGCAATTACGGAGTTTGCAAACTAAAACGGGGTCTGCAGGGTTGTCAGAAGTCTCCGTTTTGCTCCGTTTACACTGAAACGCAATTACGGAGTTTGCAAACTAAAATGGGGTCTGCAGCGTTTTCATAAGTCTTCGTTTTGCTCATGTTGACACTGAAACGCAATTACGGAGTTTGCAAACTAAAACGGGGTCTGCAGCGTTTTCAGAAGTCTTCGTTTTGCTCCGTTTACACTGAAACGCAATTACGGAGTTTGCAAACTAAAACGGGGTCTGCAGCGTTTTCAGAAGTCTTCGTTTTGCTCCGTTTACACTGAAACGCAATTACGGAGTTTGCAAACTAAAACGGGGTCTGCAGCGTTTTCAGAAGTCTTCGTTTTGCTCCGTTTACACTGAAACGCAATTACGGAGTTTGCAAACTAAAACGGGGTCTGCAGCGTTTTCAGAAGTCTTCGTTTTGCTCCGTTTACACTGAAACGCAATTACGGAGTTTGCAAACTAAAACGGGGTCTGCAGCGTTTTCAGAAGTCTTCGTTTTGCTCCGTTTACACTGAAACGCAATTACGGAGTTTGCAAACTAAAACGGGGTCTGCAGCGTTTTCAGAAGTCTTCGTTTTGCTCCGTTTACACTGAAACGCAATTACGGAGTTTGCAAACTAAAACGGGGTCTGCAGCGTTTTCAGAAGTCTTCGTTTTGCTCCGTTTACACTGAAACGCAATTACGGAGTTTGCAAACTAAAACGGGGTCTGCAGCGTTTTCAGAAGTCTTCGTTTTGCTCCGTTTACACTGAAACGCAATTACGGAGTTTGCAAACTAAAACGGGGTCTGCAGCGTTTTCAGAAGTCTTCGTTTTGCTCCGTTTACACTGAAACGCAATTACGGAGTTTGCAAACTAAAACGGGGTCTGCAGCGTTTTCAGAAGTCTTCGTTTTGCTCCGTTTACACTGAAACGCAATTACGGAGTTTGCAAACTAAAACGGGGTCTGCAGCGTTTTCAGAAGTCTTCGTTTTGCTCCGTTTACACTGAAACGCAATTACGGAGTTTGCAAACTAAAACGGGGTCTGCAGCGTTTTCAGAAGTCTTCGTTTTGCTCCGTTTACACTGAAACGCAATTACGGAGTTTGCAAACTAAAACGGGGTCTGCAGCGTTTTCAGAAGTCTTCGTTTTGCTCCGTTTACACTGAAACGCAATTACGGAGTTTGCAAACTAAAACGGGGTCTGCAGCGTTTTCAGAAGTCTTCGTTTTGCTCCGTTTACACTGAAACGCAATTACGGAGTTTGCAAACTAAAACGGGGTCTGCAGCGTTTTCAGAAGTCTTCGTTTTGCTCCGTTTACACTGAAACGCAATTACGGAGTTTGCAAACTAAAACGGGGTCTGCAGCGTTTTCAGAAGTCTTCGTTTTGCTCCGTTTACACTGAAACGCAATTACGGAGTTTGCAAACTAAAACGGGGTCTGCAGCGTTTTCAGAAGTCTTCGTTTTGCTCCGTTTACACTGAAACGCAATTACGGAGTTTGCAAACTAAAACGGGGTCTGCAGCGTTTTCAGAAGTCTTCGTTTTGCTCCGTTTACACTGAAACGCAATTACGGAGTTTGCAAACTAAAACGGGGTCTGCAGCGTTTTCAGAAGTCTTCGTTTTGCTCCGTTTACACTGAAACGCAATTACGGAGTTTGCAAACTAAAACGGGGTCTGCAGCGTTTTCAGAAGTCTTCGTTTTGCTCCGTTTACACTGAAACGCAATTACGGAGTTTGCAAACTAAAACGGGGTCTGCAGCGTTTTCAGAAGTCTTCGTTTTGCTCCGTTTACACTGAAACGCAATTACGGAGTTTGCAAACTAAAACGGGGTCTGCAGCGTTTTCAGAAGTCTTCGTTTTGCTCCGTTTACACTGAAACGCAATTACGGAGTTTGCAAACTAAAACGGGGTCTGCAGCGTTTTCAGAAGTCTTCGTTTTGCTCCGTTTACACTGAAACGCAATTACGGAGTTTGCAAACTAAAACGGGGTCTGCAGCGTTTTCAGAAGTCTTCGTTTTGCTCCGTTTACACTGAAACGCAATTACGGAGTTTGCAAACTAAAACGGGGTCTGCAGCGTTTTCAGAAGTCTTCGTTTTGCTCCGTTTACACTGAAACGCAATTACGGAGTTTGCAAACTAAAACGGGGTCTGCAGCGTTTTCAGAAGTCTTCGTTTTGCTCCGTTTACACTGAAACGCAATTACGGAGTTTGCAAACTAAAACGGGGTCTGCAGCGTTTTCAGAAGTCTTCGTTTTGCTCCGTTTACACTGAAACGCAATTACGGAGTTTGCAAACTAAAACGGGGTCTGCAGCGTTTTCAGAAGTCTTCGTTTTGCTCCGTTTACACTGAAACGCAATTACGGAGTTTGCAAACTAAAACGGGGTCTGCAGCGTTTTCAGAAGTCTTCGTTTTGCTCCGTTTACACTGAAACGCAATTACGGAGTTTGCAAACTAAAACGGGGTCTGCAGCGTTTTCAGAAGTCTTCGTTTTGCTCCGTTTACACTGAAACGCAATTACGGAGTTTGCAAACTAAAACGGGGTCTGCAGCGTTTTCAGAAGTCTTCGTTTTGCTCCGTTTACACTGAAACGCAATTACGGAGTTTGCAAACTAAAACGGGGTCTGCAGCGTTTTCAGAAGTCTTCGTTTTGCTCCGTTTACACTGAAACGCAATTACGGAGTTTGCAAACTAAAACGGGGTCTGCAGCGTTTTCAGAAGTCTTCGTTTTGCTCATGTTGACACTGAAACGCAATTACGGAGTTTTCAAACTAATACGGGGTCTGCAGCGTTTTCAGAAGTCTCCGTTTTGCTCCGTTTACACTGAAACGCAATTACGGAGTTTGCAAACTAAAACGGGGTCTGCAGGGTTGTCAGAAGTCTCCGTTTTGCTCCGTTTACACTGAAACGCAATTACGGAGTTTGCAAACTAAAACGGGGTCTGCAGGGTTGTCAGAAGTCTCCGTTTTGCTCCGTTTACACTGAAACGCAATTACGGAGTTTGCAAACTAAAACGGGGTCTGCAGGGTTGTCAGAAGTCTCCGTTTTGCTCCGTTTACACTGAAACGCAATTACGGAGTTTGCAAACTAAAACGGGGTCTGCAGGGTTGTCAGAAGTCTCCGTTTTGCTCCGTTTACACTGAAACGCAATTACGGAGTTTGCAAACTAAAACGGGGTCTGCAGGGTTGTCAGAAGTCTCCGTTTTGCTCCGTTTACACTGAAACGCAATTACGGAGTTTGCAAACTAAAATGGGGTCTGCAGCGTTTTCAGAAGTCTCAGATTTCGAGGGTCGAAAATGCCGGAGTAGTGTAAACGACAGGCGTAACCGTAGCAAAAGGTATGCGTTTTAAAGCGAAAACGCACTAGTGTAAACGTAGCCTCACCCAAAAAGAAAATTCTTGTGTCTTTCCAACCCTGTTTTAATTTTTCTTTTGTTTTATGTTCTTTCTCTGTTCGATACAACATTGATTTTTTTTACTGCCAAGCTCCTAAAAGGACTGTTACGTATACCTGGTTTTGTGTACCTTGTGTTTTTTGTTATTTGGACTTTTAGGTTGCATTCTGCCCTGTTTTGTTCCTGTTTCCTGTAGTGTTGTCAAAAGACCCGGTATTTCGGTACCAAGTCGGTACTAAAAAAATAAAAACTTTACGGTACCAGGTTTTCTTAAGTACCGGTGGTACCGAGTACCCGGTCAACCCGGTTCTTGATGCGCTATCAGAAAGCTATCCTCTTCCAGTGTTGCCAAGTCCGCGGTTTTCCCGCGGAATTGGGCTGCTTTAACACTGTTGCC